AAAAGTCATAATATTATGCACATCAATTTTCGTTTGCTTTAAAAAAAAATGTTTACGAATATCTAAAGATCTTTGATTAAAATGTAATCTTTGAAAATATGTTACTTTTTTAATTAACTGAGCATAAAAAATAAAAATACTAATTTTTTTAATCTCTACTTATCTAATTGGGCGATACAAATTTCCTATTAGTAGATCCATACTCTCTTTGTGAAAAATTCTCAGATTTTTGTCTTATAACGACAACAAAGTAGCCCTACAAAAACAGAATAGGGTCTTATTATACCTGTCGGGTCAAGCAGCAGCACGGCGTTGATTGTTTATGTTTAAATAATGTTTATGTAATGTTTAGTGTAATTATTAGTGTAATGTTTATTTATTAGGCTTAAGTTTGTACAAAGGCTTTGTTGATCGCAAGCCGACTATTTCTCGGCCGCTCGACTCAACAAGCTTTCCATAGAGAGTTTTAGCTCGCAGTGTCTAGGTCGGGCCGCCCTCTCCATTATTCGAGAGCTTTAGCTTCGCAGTGACCAGTCGGGCCGCCCTCTCTGTTTTTTACTTGAGTCCCTGCATGCACCATAGCTGGTCTATCTGCGGATCATCCGGCTTGATCTGCATGCAGGAATAAACATTTATAACGTTCAATTTAAATACAAAATCGTCTTTTATTTACGGCATTGAAAACGCTCAATGACCAAACAATACCCTTGCAAAGGGTATTATAATTTTGGACAAAAGCGTGCAACTCAGTGCAGGAGACATCTCCGACCCTACAAAGTATGCATATTCTTGATCAGGATCCCCTCCGAAGTGTATATAAAATGGTATTTGGTGTTCAGCAAAAATACCAACTTTGGTTTTTTTAAGATAAAAGTTTTGGAGTTTTTTTTTAATTGTTGTATTGTAATAAAATGGTTATATGATATGATATGATATTCTCATAAGGATCGACGAACTATATCCGATTTTTGCGATATGTATACAGTTTTAACTGTAGGGTATATCAACTTCGGCTCCGCCCGAAGTTAGCTTTCCTTTCTTGTTTATTTTTTGATTAATTTTTAGTAGATTTTAAAAATCTAAAAAAAATTAATTTATTAGTAGTAGTGCATATTGTGGGTACATCTACAAAATTGCAGTTTCCTGATCTGAATGCCAATATGCTAGAGAAAGTATTATTGCATATTTTTTATTGCAATATCTAATTGAGTCCTAAATTGGTTACTAACTTGAATCAAAGGGTACAATTATTATATTTAGTTGGAGGGTAAAAAAGATAACTGAAAAGATAAAAGAGCCTTGGCTTCCGTTTCCCCTTTGTATTTTTTGGATTTCACTGAAAACGTATTTTCGATTGTCTAAACCTATGCTTGATTCAGATTTTGGTGCAGGCTCTGATACTATTTTAGGTGAAGTAAAAATAAGATTTTTTTTTGGCGGTCTGTCTACTACCATCCCAGTTTAAATTTAAAATGTAACCCAGTATTTTAATTTCAAACATGTTTTCTTACTTAGTTTTTTTGTTTTCGTTGGTGTCAGGCTAGAGCTATGGTCCATCGAGGAGATATCGGCACATGTACCTTTTAAAGGGGTGCAACTTAAATTCTCCAATGCGATTGATCGCGGGACATCTGTAAACAACTGTACGCTAGGACCTTCCATCGACTGTATTCCTTTTGTAGGTATTGAAGTTGTGTCGTACCTAGTTTTTTCCTGAAGCAACATGAAGGTTGATTGCATTGTATTTGATTTAACTGAAGCTGTTTCTTGGGTGCAGTTGTGACTGAATTCCGTATTTTCCTTTTTCTTTTTAAACGTGACTATTCAAATTCGGTATTGGTATTCAAATTTGAAACATAGAAAATCAAACAAAAAATTATAAATAAATAATAATAGGAACAATTTACTAAATTATACTGTACCAATTCCACTGCAACGAATACCCTTAAAGCGATGATGATCTCTAAACTTGGAACTAGTCTCATCATAGGAATGCCCCCGCCAAATTGTCCGCAAGAGACAAACTTGGCTACGCTGACTATCGCGAGTATAAATTCGGGAAGGCCTTTTGGGTCTTTTTATATAGAAAATTATGCGTTCAAGTATGTGATCAGAAGACGATGATGAAGTAGCTGAATTGGAATTTATATTACCAACGTAGATCGACGATACTCCTATATCAGTAGATGCTAAATTTGCATTTTCAGAGTTTGGTGTTAAATTTTGATTCGTTTCTCTTGGAACCCTTTTTTTTGACCACGAAAAAATTTTTGAGAGAAATTTGTTATTACAACTTTTAGTCGGGGGTGTGACTAACATGGGATTTAATTCAGCAGCACAATTTTCAAATTGATTGTTTTTATAAGAATCCTGTTTGATTGTCGTTCTATTCACGACAAGATTTTCTTTGGTTTCATTGTTTACGTGAAGCAAAACTCCTGGTCGAAGTGGCCAACGTGGGGGCGACTTATGTGAATTTGTATCCCGGCAAGTAGATTGAGATTCAGAAATATTACTAACACCTGTTGAGTTTTGATAATTTTTCCATTTTTTTTGTATTAACATAGAGTTAGTTACTTCTGCAGTAGTATTTACTATAGGTAGACTGTCACGGAGTTTCGCTAAATCCGGCTGGGAAGTCAGTACACTGTTTAATATTATAGACGCGCAGAGTTGAAGTATTTATGAGGTTTGGTTAGTGCATATGAAAATAAAAAATTATATAATGATTTAGTTAAAAAACATGCTATTAAATATTTATAAATAGCCACTTGAATAAGAATTCTGCAAAATGTTATAAAGAAGGATAGGGCTATTTGGGCTTAAAAATGGCACATTTTTGTGATGAAATCTATATTTTTAAATAAAGTACATTTCATAGTATGACCTTATGATCGACAATTCATTTCCCCAGTAAACACTGGGATGGTTAGTCAAAGAAATAATTATAGAACCAAATTTCTTACTACTTCCACAAAACGAAAAAAATTGGAATTTTAAAGTCCTTTTATCCACTATAATATTTAAAGCCATAATACAGGGCATTACAATTGTTTAAAAGGGAAACTACGTACAAATATTGTAAATTAAACAATAAATTTGTTAAAGACCCAATATGACAGGTTAAATTAAACTTTGATGCTTTTATAATGATAATGACATAATCATCTTTTAAGTTGAGAAAGCTTTGTCAGTCAATTCGTCTTAAAATATATTCCACACGGAATATTTAAGACGGAATGACAGGAAATCACTTTTTACAATATGTACATATATCATAAAGCTGCATATTATTAAACTATCGGAAATTTATAGTATCTGTACGGTATTATAATTTTTTTCAAAAGTGTGCAACGCAATGAAGGGACATCTGTGACTCTATGAAGTATATATATTCTGGATCAAGATCACCTCCCAAGTCTATATAGGCATTTCCGTCTGTTTCTAGTCTAGAACTCTAAGTTTTTAAGCTATCGACTTTGAAAAATTTTGAATTCTTTGGCTATATATGTATACATAAATTTCGGCGCAATTCCTCAAAATATGAATTGAATCTTAAATTTTACCAAAACAATAGTGCTTTAAGGTTTATTATTTTTCCATTTATGTATAAAACTGACATTTTATAACTATTTGGCATTCAAATCTCAATTTCGATAAGAAGCGACATACTTTCACGGAAATGTAACGATTTTTTTTTTTTAGCATTGTTTAAGTGCTTCTTAGCGTGTGCTAGAAGCTTACCATAGTATATATCGTATACATAGTATAGTATACTAAGTATACTATAGTATACTAAGTGCACGCTAAGAAGCACTTAAACAGTGCTAAAAAAAAAAAAATTTGGGTGTTGATCCATCAACTAATTTTTCACGTTTTATGCTTGATCAGATGTTTTCAATTTTTATTGTTGAAGAATTCCATTTTTTCTGCTTGCATTTTTAGTGAAGTTAAAAATAAAAATCTTTAGAAACTGTAGAATTCCAGTAAAAAATTTATGATTCCAGGTTCTGATTTCTTATTCAAGTGACAACAGATTGTTATATGTAAGAGAGAAATTATTTTAAAAATTTTATGAAAATTATGAAAATTACTAACAAAAATAAAAAAAAAATTTTAGTTTATTAAAAAAATTTAGTATTTGAAAAAGAAAAAAATCATGATTTAATTTTCATTGGAACCGCATACGATTAAATGTAAATAAAATTGTACTTACCTTTGGTTACCAGTTAGTGGGGCTTCCGAAAGATCTTTTATTTGAGTATGTAAGTATAATCGTTAATAATTGTGATTTGAAAAGTTAAGCAACGCATTGACATACATATGTAAATTATGAGGTTTACGTGTAATGTGGCAGTTTTCGTTTGTAACAGGCAATCATAAGGTGTTGAGGTATATAAATAGAAAGTATTTAAATGTAAACTTGATCAAAGCTTTTATATATTACATATATATATATATATATTATAATTAGATATTTATTTTATAAATTAGAAATTAAAATAATAAGAGATTTCTTATCAAAATTATATGTAACATGTTTTCAATCCCGAAATAACTTTTGAAAAGTAAATAATGTGAAGTCCAATTAGTTTGATATTGGGTCAATTAGTTTAAAAATGAGTTAAAATTAGAATACTTTGGAAAGTTTAAGGAAACTTATTTATAATCTTGAATTCAAATTAACTCAATTAAATGCTTATACATTTATAATTTTTCCCCTTTTACTTAGCAAAACGGAGGACTTTGAAAACTTTGACAAATCCCACAAAATAAATAAACTGTTTGGAAAACTTCAAAGGAGCGAATTTTGAAACATTGTTAAATGGATTGTAAAAGCACAATTTGAAATTAAATAAAATTTTTCTTAGAAATTTTCGTCCCATATTTATTTGTATTATTGTAGTCTAAATATTTTCAGTACTATTTTTATTTTCGTACTATTTTAGTCTTTATTTTAACACACATATATTTTTTAAAACATGTATATAAGTACTTACATTTATCTTGACGACGTCGACGACGGCATACATAAATAATGATGCAACATATTATTACCACTATTAGTAATAAAACCAAAATTCCAGTTAAAAGTATAACAAGAGTGTTTTCTTCCCATCGTTGCCACCAAGCCAGTTGCTCTAGTTGATAATAAAAGAAAAATATTAATTTATTAAGTGCTACGATTATAAGCAGAATCTAAAATACAAGTCAAAATAAAAATAAAACATATCTTAATATAACTAATACATTATTCATTTAACAATAAATACTATAAATCTGTCGATATTTTCAAGATTTAACAAAAAAAAAAAATCTTTTTACCGTTCGTGATCCGTGATCCAAAAAATACCGTAAAAGAAAATTGAAAAACCAGTGTTAAAATTTTTGAAAATATTAATTTTTGACATATTGTTTCCCATAATTTTAATTCACGCTATGTAGTTTTGTATATTATCTTCTATATAATAACACTCTAAATTCACTCTATAATAATATAAGACAGATTGCCTTGCCAATTTCCAACTGCCGATTTAATGAAAGCACTCTCAAAAAATTAACTCCAATAATGAAATAATATTATATACTTACTTTTGGGTCTCACTGATTGTTAATGAAGTAAAAATATAAGAATGGAAAATGTGTATGGTCAATTGATTTTACTGATAGTAATTTAAGAAAAAGGAGGCTAAAATATATTTCTGCTACAATACATTTCTACAGAACTCACTATAATTATACCCTTGGAGAGGGTATTATAATTATTGTCTTGTATTATGTAGTGTATATATTCTTATGTCCGCCAGAGTCACCAGGATCACCGCCAGAGTCGATAAAAGCACATCCCTCTGTCTGTCTGTCCGACTGTATGTTTCTACGCGAACTAGTCTCTCAGTTTTAAAGCTATCAACCGACTACTAACCGACTATTTAAAACAGGGACCGTAATCATTATGAGTTTTATTTTAAAAATCACAAAATAAACATTATTTTCTGAGCCAAAAAATTAAAATCAGAAATAATCCTTATTCTATGATCGAAAAATAAAAATCACAAAATAATCATTATTCTATGATTGAAAATAAAAATCATAAATAATGATTATTTTTGATTTTTATTATTTTTCGCTCAAAAATATCACTCAATTCATGATTTCGCGTGCGGTATTCGATTTTTTTTTTTTATATTTAACTGCATATCTCATTAGACAACATATGTACCATTTAGTACCATGTACCATTTCATTAACAGACCTCCGTACTTTTAAACCTTTAAAAGGATTCGCTTTGAGGATTTCACATTTGGACAATTTCCACGTTAAAAAAAAATAATAAGCAAGAAAGGAAAGCTAACATCGGGCGGAGCCGAAGTTGATATACCCTTGCAGTTAAAACCGGATATATCTCGCAAACATCGGATATAGTTGGGAGATCCTTATGAGAATATGATAATATAACCCAATGTATTATAATATAAAATCTAAAAAAAAGTCCCAAACTTCTATCTTCAAAAATACCACAGTTAATATTTCTACCAAATACCATTTCCGATCGTTCAGTTATATGGCAGCTATAAGATATAGTCAGCCGGTCGTTATAAAATTTGGTAGGTCGGATTAACTAACCAAAAATATAATCTGTACTAAATTCCAGCTTTCTATCTTCAAAAACACGAAAGTTGGGTCATTTCCGATCGTTCAGTTATATGGCAGCTATAGGATATAGTCGGCCGATCCTTATGAAGTTTGACATGTCGCAATGTTTTGCCAAAAAAAGCTCTCATGTCAAATTTGTCAACTCTCTAACTCTAAAAACACCAAAGTTATACCATTTCCGATTAATCAGTTATATGGCAGATATAGGATATAGTCGGCGGATCCGACTTATATACTGCGTGCAAAGGAAAGAAGGGTGTGTGCAAAGTTTCAAGTCGATAGCTTTAAAACTGAAATACTAGTTCGCGTGGGTCGGACAAAATTATAATACCCTCTGCAAGGGTATAAAAATAATGATTATAAACCGTAGCTATTATCGTCTTCGAGTAAAATAGATGAATAGAAATAGACAGACAGACATACTCCAATTTTTCTACTTGACATTCTGATCAAGAATATATATAGAATCGACATAGAAATTCGATTCTACACATTATTCTAGTGATAGTAGCCCTGTCGCGCACACTAAGGTATGGTCGTCAAGCTTAAAAGTAACTTTTTAAAGTTATTTGTGATTTCTTTACTTTATAATTATAACTTTAAAATTTTTGTATTTATTTATGTATGTACATACCGTCGACTTCAATTTCACAAAACGTTCCTGACCCAACCGTGTTGTTTGCTAGACATCTATACGTCCTTGTGATACCATAATCAGCTTTTAAAACGTAAAAGCTTTTATCCGAAAGATCATTTGGGTAGCCACTACCCAAATTTTCGATGGTTTCGTTTTCACCTTTAATTGACCAAGAAAAATCAGCCTGTAAGATAGGAAAAAAAAATATTTCTTGCATAAATACATTAAAACTGTTAATTAAGTGTTAGTGGTATTGATGAGAAACGTAATGCGTTGTTGATTTCCCAATATATGTTATTCAAGTGGACTGTATGTACTATGCTGAAGAATAACTAACTTAAAAAACTAAATGCGACGCAGCGCCGGAATGCGTATAAAGAAGAAAGAAGAAAAAAACTAATACTAAGAAATGACGACGCGTCGATCGATTCGCGTCGGAAGATTTGGCATCAAAACTTTTTCAACAATCTCTTTTGTTATAGTGTAGAAATCCACTCGTACATTCAGTAAGTCGGCTGTTGATGCTGATCAAGAATATATATTTATACATTTTATGAGGTCGGAGATGATTCCTTCACAATGTTACATACATTCACATGAATACAATACACCCTTATGAGATTAAGCCAACATTGCTCACGTTAAGCCAATACGACCTTAAGGTATTAATACCCCTGTTCTCTAAGATAAGTGTTGGGAAAGCAGCTAAAGACCAAGATGAATAGTCTAGTGGGCTAGCGCAGTAAGTGGGTTTTCCATGTGAGATGCCTGCCCAACGTCATTCCCAGGTATTTTAGGGTTGAGTTTGGTGATTTATGATGTTATATCCAACAATGGTAGCCACACACATTATAAAAATAGTTTAATTTGACACTTTTTTTGATAAATAACACTTAAAATTAAAAAAAATTTTATATATAATTCTTTAAACACCAATTTTTAGTTCCTGTTTCTAATCAAGTGCATTCAAAAAAATTTACAGCTTTCTAGGAATGGAAAAAGCAAACACGAAAAAAATATAACGGTAATTTCTTGCGACCTCTCCCTTATTTTCGTAGTTTGCATATGTTCTCTTCTTCAGAAGTCAGCAAAACACATGCCAATATCTATAGTAGATTAAGAGAAAAATAACATGAAGCAAAAAAATTGTTGTCCCTCTTCAAGTGCACGGCAGTGTAAGGAAATAAATTCCCAATCCTCTTCATCATGCCGGATTTGCCGGAAAAAATTAAAATAATTTTGAAAGCTTGAATGATCAAAACTAAGGAGGCAAACTGCGGCCGTCACGAATTAGGCGCGAGTAAACGTCTTGGATTCAAAAGAAACACCTTGGATTCTTCCAGTTAAGGAGGAAAACCTCAAAGACTGCAATTTTATTAAAAGGAGAATGTTTAACTAAAGTCAGTGTAAACGACACGTCGTTGTAAGAAACCCGGAATCCATCTATGACAGAAAAGTTAGCTCCAGAGTTTCGGTAAAATTAAGGATTCAATTCTGTTCCGTCAATATTCTGTCAATTATATTCTTCTGTCAAGAAACGTTTTTACTATAAAGTTAGTTTTTTCAATATACTTTGCGAAGATGAGAAGAGATTAGTTCTTTTTTTATTGCCATTTAAAAACAAGAAAGAACCGCTATATTCGATTTTCCCGACTATATTATACCCGGTACTTATCTCTTCCACCCACACTTAATTTAAACGTCAAAAAGTATGGACCATCAGAAAAAAAATTGTGCTTTTGTGCTTGGGGAAATAAAAAACTAAAAAAAATTATGTAGGGAAACACAATAAGTAATCTATAACTATACTAAAAATTTTACGATTAAATAGTTTGTCATTAAAGCATTTTCCGAAAACTTGTTTGAAATGATGCTACGAGAATTCTGTTTTAGGGAGCAGGAGTGGGTGGTGAAAAATTTTGACACAAACTTGATATCGATACCGTAGGAGTCCAAATTCTAAAACGGATAGTTCTATGTCTTATAGTCTCAGAGATCCACGCGTTCAAAATTTTAACACATTTGTATAAGAATTGTCTAAATGTCCTTTAAAATTTTTTTTCAGATATAAAATAATTATAACAAGAAAGGAAAGCTAACTTCGGGCGGAGCCGAAGTTGATATACCCTTGCAGTTAAAACCGGATACATATCGTAAACATCGGATATAGTTGGCCGATCCTTATGAGAATATCATAATAAAACCAATTAATTACAATAAAATTGTAAAAAAAAAAATTCGAAAATAAAGTCCCAAGCTTCTATCTTCAAAAATACCCAAGTTGGTATTTCTACCAAACACCATTTCCGATCGTTCAGTTATATGGCAGCTATAAGATATAGTCGACCGATCGTTATGAAATTTGGTATACTGACCTGAATTTGGATCAACTGACCAAAAATAGAATCTGTACTAAGTTCCAGCTTTTTATCTTCAAAAACCCAAAAGTTGTGTCATTTTCGATCGCTCATTTATATGGCAGCTATAGGATATAGTAGGCCGATCCTTATGAAATTTGGCATGTCGTATTATTTTTGCTCGTGTAAAATTTGAACTCTCTAATCTTAAAACATTAAAGTTATACCAATTCCGATCAATCAGTTATATGGCAGCTATAGGATATAATCGCCCGATCCCGGCCGATCCGACTTATATACTGCGTGCAAAGAAAAGAAAGGTGTGTGCAAAGTTTCAAGTCGATAGCTTTAAAACTGAGAGATTAGTTTGCTTAGAAACAGACAGACGGACATGATCATATCAACTCAGGAGGTGATCCTGATCAAGAATATATATACTTTATGGGGTCGGAGATGTCTCCTACACTGCGTTGCACACTTTTGGACAAAATTATAATACCCTCTGCAAGGGCATAAAAATAACGTCGTAAACTAGTCGTACAAAAAAGCCAGGGGTGTGCTAGTTTTTATCAAACGGTGGTCAAAAAAATTTGATGAACCATTTAACCACTAAGACTCTATATGTCTCTTTAGTTTGTCCTATCTTGGAATACATCAAAAGAATTATGAATCTTTTAAAAAGAGGGTTTATTTTATTTGCATTAAAAAATGTATACTGGCATACTGGTCTTAATTACTTTTGGAAAAACAAATTTTTTTTAAATCCTAGTAGGATAACTAGGTCCTTCCGACCTTTTTGGTTACCAATTTGTAGATCTAATTTTTCCGAACACGTTTTGTACCGTCTTATTTGTAAAAATAAGAACTTATTTTCCCAGTTTGTGTCCCCTGAATTATCCTTACAAGTAAAGATATATAAAATTTTTGAATGTCAATTAGCCTAATTTTTCCCTACTTTTAATTGCAATAATCTATAATAACAGACCATTGGTAATTAGAAAAAAGTAAATAAATAATGTGCAATCTATATTCATTGGATCAACCTTTATACAATAAAATCACAAAATCATCTTCACAAAATCCAACTAACTTATCTATTTTCCTTATATTTTCCAGGGTCTTTTCCAGAAGTTCTTTAGGCAGATAAACTAAGCCCACCTTTTTAGAAACTAATATAGGAATGAAGATAAAAACATGAGGAATAACATAATTTACGATTATATATACGACAAGTGTAGAAATATGGTCTGATATGACAATAAGGAACAGCGCGAATGACAGAACATTTTATCATTATCTATGGTAATTTTTTCATATAGTCATATCAATTATACGCTTATTGACCTGGTTATATTGGATATTGGTTATTAACCTTTAAAAAAATAAAAAAGTAAAACAATTTGATTTCTCTGTATAAAACTGTTAATATACACTTACTTCAGAAGGTTTTCCAAATGCAGTACAAACTAGAGTATCCTGACCATTTATATTCTCCCTTTTAATGTTACAATCTGGCTTAACTTTAAAAAAGTAAAAAGATAATCAACGTTTTTCATGTATATAATTTCAATTATTTTACTTACACTGTACGGTTATTACTGTGTGTGCTAAATCATTTCCATGTTTGTTATAAGCCATACAGCTATATATACCATTTTGGTTTCGTCGTAATCCGAAATCGAAAGTAAGGAAATTTCCGTTAGCTATTGTTTCGTTTTTAAAAATCCATTTGTAGGAAGGCTCTAAAAAGGAAAGAAAGAAATATGTTAAGTTGAAATCATAACGACAAAATAATTTCAGGCAGCTATACTCTAATACGAATAAAGGATAACCGAGACATGTAGAAGTTCCCCCCAATGTATGCTAGTTGAAAACGAAACCAGCTTTGGAACTATTAAAATCAAGTATCAATATAGGCTTTATCCGATACAGTAAGATAATTAACTAACCTGGATTAGCTCTGGCATTGCAGAAAATACGTTCCGGTTTAGTATCCTCTTCTATATAAACGTTTTCCTCCGAAACGGTCGTATTAATTGGTGAATCTAATTGGGACATATTTAAGTTTATCTTATTTCAAATAGATGGTAATCTTGACAGTTTAGACTTACATTCGATACTGAAGTAGGTGGAGCTCTTAACACTCGGCCCCACCGAATTGGAAGTTGATAGGCATGTATAGTTGTCATTGTCGGCCTCAATATCAAATTTTTGTTGCGGCCAATTGGACATATTAAAATGCTGAAACATACAAAATAAATTACACAGTTTCCAATATACAAAATATGATAGGTAAATAAAGAATCTTCTTCTGTGTTATATTATAAACAGGACTAGAAGTTCCAGGGATTTTTATTTTAAAAACCGAAAATAACAAGAAAGAACGGCATGTCGTTCTAACAAGAAAGAAATAACAAGAAAGAACGGCATGTGGCCGATCAATCAGTTATATGGCAGCTATAGGATATAGTCGGCCGATCCGGGCCGTTCCGACTTATATACTGCGTGCAAAGGAAAGAAGGGTGTGTGCAAAGTTTCAAGTCGATAGCTTTAAAACTGAGAGACTAGTTTGCGTAGAAAGCTGGAATTTAATACAGATTATATTTTTATATAGAGAAATACCAACTTTGCTATTTTTGAAGATAGAAGTTTGGGACTTGTTTTTAATTTTGTATTATAATAAATTGGGTTATATTATCATATTCTCATAAGGATCGGACAACTATATCCGATGTTTGCGATATATATCCGGTTTTAACTGCAAGGGTATATCAACTTCGGCTCCGCCCGAAGTTAGCTTTGCTTTCTTGTTATACCCTTGCAGAGGGTATTATAATTTTGGTCAAAAGTGTGCAACGCAGTGAAGGAGACATCTCCGACCCTATAAAGTATATATATTCTTGATCAGGATCACCTCCTGAGTTGATATGAGCATGTCCGTCTGTCCGTCTGTCCGTCTGTCTGTCTGTCCGTTTCTACGCGAACTAGTCTCTCAGTTTTGAAGCTATCGTCTTGAAACTTTGCACACACCCTTCTTTCCTTTGCACGCAGTATATAAGTCGGAACGGCCCGGATCGGCCGACTATATCCTATAGCTGCCATATAACTGATTGATCGGAAATGGTATAACTTTGGTGTTTTTAGAGTTAGAAAGTTCAAATTTGACATGAGAGCTATTTTTGGCAAAAAATTACGACATGCCAAATTTTATAAGGATCGGCCGACTATATCCTATAGCTGCCATATAACTGAACGATCGGAAATGACCCAACTTTTGTGTTTTTGAAGATAGAAAGCTGAAATTTAATACAGATTCTATTTTTGGTCAGTTGATCCAACGTACCAAATTTCATAAGGATCGGCCGACTATATCCTATAGCTGCCATATAACTGAACGATCGGAAATGACCCAACTTTCGTGTTTTTGAAGATAGAAAGCTGGAACTTGGTACAGATTAAATTTTGATCCATCCTACCAAATTTCATAAGCATCGGCCAACTATATCCGATGTTTGCGATATATATCCGGTTTTAGCTGCAAGGGTATATAAACTTCGGCTCCGCCCGAAGTTAGCTTTCCTTTCTTGTTTTTAGTTAAAGTCGTAAGCCCGATTACAATATACTAGCAAGAGTACCGAAAATAAATACAGAACTTACCAAAACGGATAGCATGCTTTCAAAATCTCCAGTTGCCGGCGATGATTCCATATATTTTTCTTTTACAAAATATTTAGTATTATTCTTCTCAATAGGGATCCCACCCTTTAACCATGATATTTCACATCTTGGAACACATTCAATACGACAGGTTAAATTTGCATTCGTCGAAGAGTGCAGGATTCCAGTGTATGGCGGCAAGTTTTTTATAAAAAATGGTGGTGCATGCACCTTAAGGTTAACTGTGGCCATAATTCCCCTACCACCTTCGTTGTAAGCATAGCAAGAATAGTTGGTACGACTGTCAAGTCCTACTGGTTCCACTGTCCAATCTTTTGTAACAACGTCCTGTAACGGACCACGTCCTCCACGTAGCCAACGATATCTGTTAGGTTTTGAAATCATTTGAGCATTGAATGTAAATTTTCCCATTTTACGATAGAGAGCGTAGGTGGATGATACGAGATTTGATTGTAATCCTGTGTAAAGGACTACAAGTTGTAATTTTTTTGTGTATGTAGTGAGCGTGAGTAATGTACATGGTGAATTATTGTAATTAAAGTCAATTAAAGCATGTGTTTCTTTAATTTCATTGAATGGACTGGATTCACTTGATAGTATTGTTTGTGATGAATTTTCCGATGGAGTACTTAATTTTTGCGGCATTTTTTGCAACAAAAATGATTCTAAAGCAATGTCGGCTTCATTAGACTTTAACGCTTTTACTGTATGGTAAGTAATAAGTATGGGGTATGATATTGCCTTTTTATTGTTATTCTGGACGGCTTGCGTAGTTACAAACCTATTTGAATCTGGATACCCAGGATCATCCACGGAACAAGTTAATACAACGCTTTTTTTTTTTACAGCGATTAGGGGAAAATTAGAAAGTGAAGCAGGTCCCGGTTCATAATGTACCTAAACAAGAAATCGGTTATAAAAAAAAAATGTATTTCTTGGCTACAGAGTCAAACTTACCATAAGCTCCTTATCTTCACTTCGTGGTCCCCAGCCAGCAGCGTTCAATCCCTCGCAAGAATAATTGTAGAAAAAACCTCGTCCTATGCTTTCCAATAATAATTTACTTGGATCAATATGGCAAAGATCTTCCTGAATGGATAAAATTTATAATATGTTTAGACACGTAAACGACTTTGGAAAAAAGGAAAGACAACTCCTGCTGAAAATTAGAATACATGGAATTATCTCCGACTATACAATATATAGTACAATATAAAATATTGCAAAATACAATAGAATATTATATACAATATTCTATTAGAATATAGAATATACAATATTCTTGGTCAGCATTAACAGCTGAGTGGATATAGCCATGTCCGTCTGTTCCTATGAACGCGTGGATCTCAGACTATAAGATAAAGCTATAGCCTTTGGCATGGAGTTTACTATAATGTTCACGCAATTCTAGTTTGTTAGGCACGCCAATTTTAGGCACGCCCCCTTCCGCCCCACAAATGGGTAATTTCTGTAGCGCCAGTACGGAAAGGTTTTTTGAAAAACTTTTGATGCCAAACTATGTCGATAGTTAATTTATATCTGATGCTATTTCTTATTGAAACTTGGCTTAATTCCTCTGTCTCTGTGTTTCGATTGGATCGTCCATCTTTTACAGGTAGTGTCCTCATTGCTGTTAATAATGAGTACTCTGCTGAACTTATTCCTTTCTCGAATGAGTGCGGATTACTAAGACTTCATTGCGGTGAAAATTTTAACTGGCTCGTCTCATATTTTTCTGACCTGTTCCTACATTCTTCCCATGGTTGAATATATTGTATATTTTCACCACCTAGAGGCCATTAAGTCTGTTTTTTCGTTGGTCAAGGACTCTGATTTAATCCTAATTATGGGAGATTTCAACCTTCCCCTCATATCCTGGATTCCGTCTGAGGAAGACCGTTCCCTGCTTTCCAGTTATCATAACGACTTTATCGATGGCCTAACTGATTTTGCTGATTTCAACTTAACCCAATTCATAACACTCATGGCAGATTTTAGGACCTTATATTTTTCATCCTGTGTCATTCACTATGACAGTCATTCGGTCCCCGCCGCTATCGCTTCCTGAAGACTTTCAACATCCTACACTATTAGCATCGGTGTTAATTGATGTGCCTTATAATGATGCTGGCTTTAATGTTCAACTTCGTTTCAAATGCTTTAGAAAGACAAATTTTATTGCTCTTCGCAATCATTAGGCTGAAATTGATTGAAATTTTCTGTAACACTATTGAAGCAGCTATGGAATAGTTTTACGAATTAATTCATAATGCGTCGAATAAATTTGATAAATAAAGTCCCATCATCATTGTCTACAAGGTTTATAATTTCGACTATTTTCATAATTTCGTAATGAAATGGGTCTAGTTTTATTCAGGATTAATGAGACAATATTGATATTAGAAAAAATGAATATCATTTCTTGTAAGTTGTACCGAAAAAATAGCGTCAGAGTCCGAAAACCACGACAAAAATTCGAAAATGTCAGTTTCTTGCGTAAAAATTTTATACTTTTTGTTGAAATAAATTAAAGATATATTTTTTTTCTCTAACATTTAACTATCGAAAAACGAAAAAAATTTTAAAATCGGCTTAAAATTACGCGTTTATGAATTTTTAAGAGCAAAAAAGTTCCGAAAAACCGTTTTTTCCAAATAAATCAAGATTTTGAGGGTGTTTGAAAAATTTCAAACAAAAAAAATTTCAAATTTAATGAACAATTCCCACTAGGTCTCTTCAAAAGTTCCAAATCACTGTCGCACTGTGTGTTCGACCTAATAAACCATTCCTAATAGGTCTCTTCAAATCACTGTCCAAAGTTCCAAATAACTGTCGCACTTTGTTAATTATTGGATCAGTTTAGCATCAAATTTTTTTTTTTAAAACATTAACGAACTTGCGCTGCAACCAGATTTTTTTTTTGAGGGTAGGAGTGGCCGTGGCAAAATTTGGACACAATCTTCTTCTGCGCGGATATTATATGAACGCAAGTTCCAAATCTGTGTGTGGCAGAGGTCGGGCAGAGAAATTTCCTATGTCCCTGGGCGAGGGCCCTGTCTATTACTGCTTAAAATTTAAGCTTTAACGGTATACAAGCTTAGCAATAAATTTTTGTTGCATACTTTTTCGCGTGGGCAAAAAAACAACAACAATCCTATGCCCATTCTACCGATTCAGAAGGGAAGGAGACTAAAAAGTCTGTACCTTTTCAAAAATTATCCGATTTGGCTCCTTTTTGATTAGCTATTGTACTTTAGATTATATTAGCTATTATCTATTGGAACAGTTTGGCATCAAAACATTTTTTACAAATATTATCGAACTGGCGCTAATAACAGACCTTTGTTTTGGAGGCGGGAGTGGACGTTGAAAGATTTTGAAACAAACTCGTATACCATACGAGTCCAAATTACAAATCCAATAGTTCTATCTTTTATAGTCTTCGAGATCCACGAATTTAAAATTTTAGCCGGTTTGTATAGGAAATTGTATATATATGGGTATATCTCCTCTAAAAATCAATCTGGGTGAAATTTGTTTTTCAGATTTATATTTACTATAGAAATATTTTGGCTTCTTTTTTTTTAAAAGAAGCCTTCCTGTACTTTCGCTGCAGAAATTTACACATTGTGAAGGCGTGGCAAAATTTTGAAAAAAAAACTTGAACTGCGTGTGTTCTGTAAGAGTATCCATGCCAATTCCTATAGCTACATATATCTCCTACAGTCTCTAAGATTCAAGAGTTCAAATTTTAACAATTTAGTTTAACAATCTTCCAAGTTCCAAATCGGATAGTCTTATCTCTTATAGTATCTCTAATAACAATATATTTTTTATATAGCACATAAGAAACATATATTTTGTATACAGGACCAGCATGCTGGTCCGTCACCGGTATTTTACCTCGTTAGCGGTTTTTCTATCCTTGGTATTATAATTTTGGGAAAAAGTGTGCAACACAGAGAAGGAGACATTTCCGACCCCATAGAGTATATATATCTTCTCTATGTTATATGTCTATGTCTTCTCTATGTCTATGTTATATAAATTCAAACGACTACAATATACCTTTGTACTCTACAAGTACCGGGTATAAAAAGAATTTAACGTTTTCTAATTACTTACATTAGTTTCTTCGCAGTCGGGAAGTTCCTTAAGTAGAGTTGAATTGGCGTACCATCTCACTTTGGTAAGAAGGGATGGGTTAGCGCCAATTATATTGCAAAAGAGGGTAACATTTGATTCGTCGCTCTCCTTAACAGGGCCTTCGGGAATCATAACAACCTCCACAATAGGAACATCTGAAATAATTGTTAATGTATGGATTTTATTTAAAAATATAAAATTATTAATTTTTACACTGCACATCCAGATTAATTTCTTGTTCAGAAACTCCTTTTCCAATAGAATTTGATAACTGACAGGAATAATTTCCCGTATCGTCTTTTTCGGTAGACTTAATAACAAGAGCCACGTTCTCGGAATTACCCCCCTGGTAACGATCTGTATTGTTAACGTTCACAACTTCATTATTCCGATACCTAAAAACATAAGAAATGTTATCATGTTATCAAATATTTTTTAATGCAATAAAACACTTAAATGCACTTATGAAATTGAACAAATTTTACTAAACCAATAGTTCTTCATATCATATTTGCACCGGGACCTTAACAAGATATTTGTGTGGAACATATCAGTTCTTTTTTTTTTAAGTAATTTTTTTTAAGTTTTAAGTTTTTTAAAGCATTTATTGAGCCTTTGTTGATCCTGTTAAAATCTTTAAAGCAACATAACATCTGATTGGATTTCCAAATAATGCAGATTTGCTTGGTATTTGAAGTCTCTGACCGTAATACAGTCAATTTTTACTTACCATACAACATTGGTTAACGATGCTGGGTTTGCCACATATTCACAATTAAGTAACACTATTTCACTTGTATTGGTGACCACCTCAGGTGGGCTGACTTTGACGACTGGAGGATCTAAATATAAAAAAAAAATTGTTTCTTTCAGTATTTTATTTAACGTTGTCAATTTTTTAAATATTCCATTTAATACCAAAACTAAAATCGTGCAAATAATACAAGCGACGTAAGCTACTGTAAGTAAGTCTCAGTAAGTGAAAAAATCTAGTAGACAAATTTACAATGCGAACTAGTCTCTCAGTCCTAAAGCTACAACTGAACGATCGGAATAACAACATTGTTATTTTACATGATAAAAGCTTGAAACTTTTATTGAATTGTGTATTCTAAGAAATTGATTTTATTATGAGCATTCCATATAGATTGGCCAAATATGTATATATCCAATTCTGCTCCGCTTGAAGTTAGCTTTTCTTTTCTTATTTGATTATAAAAATTCGAATCAGAAAAAATTTTGGTTCTTCATAGGGTTAAACCCGACCCGTCAAGTACCAGGCTATGCACTGCGACTCTGTTCTAACCTGCTTTAATGAAATCTTAATACAAGAACAAAAGAAAAAAAATTCCAAAAACTATAAAGGTATCCCAAAATTGTCAAAATTTAAAAGATATTTCAAAAACAAGAAAGGAAAGCTAACTTCGGGCGGAGCCGAACTTTATATACTTGCAGTTTAAACCGGATATATATCGCAAACATCGGATATAGTTGGCCGATCCTTGAGAGAATATCACAATAAAACCAATTAATTACAATAAAAAATATAAAAAAAGTCCCAAGCTTCTATCTTCAAAAATACCACAGTTAATATTTCTACCAAATACCATTTCCGATCGTTCAGTTATATGGCATTTATAAGATATAGTCGGCCGATCGTTATTAAATTTGGTAGGTCGGATTAACTGCCCAAAAATATAATATGTTGTATAAAATATAATATAATAAATATAATATGATAAACTATCTTCAAAAACACGAAAGTTGGGCCACTTCCGTTATATATTCAGTTATATATGGATATAGTCAGCTGATCCCGGTCGTTCCGACTTATATAGCTATTAATAGAGCTATTTTTGGCATAATAATACGACATGCAAAATTTTGTAAGAATCGGCCGACCATATCCTATAGCTGCTATATAACTGAACGATCGGAAATTACCCAACTTTCGTGTTTTTGAAGATAGAAAGCTGGAACTTGGTACAGATTATATTCTTGGATCGGCCGACTATATCATATAAATGCCATATAACTGAACGATCGGAAATGGTATTATCTTATATATCTTATATATCTATGTATATCTTATACCGACTATATCTTATAGCAGCCATATAACTGAACGATCGGAAATGATTTTTGGTAGAAAAACCAACTTTCGCATGTTTGAAGATAGAAGTCTGGGATTTTTTTTAGATTTTGTATTGTAATAAATTGGATTATATATTCATATTCCCATAAGAATCGGCCAACTATATCCGATGTTTGCGATATATATCCAGTTTTAACTGCAAGGGTGTATCAACTTCGGCTCCGCCCGAAGTTTGCTTTCCTTGCTTGTTCTACATAACCTAATTATTGATAATGTATACATCCATGTATGCATTTACTAACACACTCACATTTTAACGTTCTTTATAAAAAAAACTAGACGTTTTTGCCACGCAGTTCAACATATCCCCAGCATGATACATTTAGACTATTAAGTTCGAACTACATCTAAGGCCTCGCGCTGTGAGGAGCCTCACAATACTTGTGGAGCGACCCCTACAACCCTGAGCTAACTCAGCATAGGTAGGCATCCACATATTGGCATCCAACCTGGTTCATTGATTGAGTACGGCAAAGAAGAGCATCGGTGGTGAATCAAGCATGGCACTATCGTGGGTGTACAATCTGAAGAAGAGGAAATTGGTGAGGTACGCCACGGTCTTGGAGAAGGGCTGGCGGGGCACGAGAAGGTTTCACTACATGACTTGAAAATTTGATAACAGGCCACGTTCCATGCTAAATCATCGCCGCCATCAAGAAAGGCCAAGGCGCAAAAAGGCTCTGGGGCGACGGGGCGAGCGAGTTAAGGGTGACGCTTGGGACGGCCGACGGACAAGTCGCCAAGCAAGTGAGGCAGTGGAGCTTTTGATTCGACGGGACGAGGAGGCCACTCAAGTTCCCCGAGCAGGTAGAGGGGTCAGCCGCATGTACGGACTGCACCGGACATTTTACCCAGGACGATGCCGGAACCAAGTCCGGCAACGGCATGCCGCCGCTGCGGCCAACATGAAAACTGCTGGCGTACTGCTGGCGGTGCGGTTCGCTCACGGACATGGACAGCTTCATTAACCATCGCTTGGGTGAAAGGGTAGCTGTAGTTGGGTAGAAATGCCTACAAGGATGGCAAGATTTCGTAGCAAAAGGTGGTGCAGTTGAGCCTATAAGAGAGACTATAAGAGATAGATCTGTAGGATTTGGCATGGGAACTCCACGCAGTTTAAGATTGTTTCAAATTTTTGGCCCCCTCCCGCCACCACAAATCGCCAATTTCTGTAGCACCAGTAATTGAAGGTATTTTGAAAAATTTTTTAAGCCTAACTTTTTCTATAGTTAATATATTATATATCTGAAAAACAAATTTAAAATCAATTTTAAAATTACTTACACAAGACTTCTAATGTGAGTGCCGACGATATTGGCTTTTCTCGATTTATTTGTATCACTATATTTTCTGCCTCACAGCGAAATACGCGGTCATTCTCAAAACGAGTCGCATTGAAAATTAGTTCAGACTGGGTATGATATGTACCGTCGTTTTTTTCAAACTATTAAAATAATCATGATATTATTAAAGAAGGTACATATATAATATATTTTTACTCACTGCTTTAGTACGAATCTCGGTAAGAATATTTTCTTCTGTTGTTATGGGGGTTGTAACGTTATACCAAGTAAGGTTTACTGGTGGCCGAGCTCCATGAATCTGTAATTAATTTTTGTTAAGTTTTTTTAAAGTTTAAACATATGTAGATAAGAAATTCCATTTTTTTTTTGTATTTAATTATGTTTCTAGGAAAAAAACAACCGTTAAAAACGTAATAACGAAAACCGTTACATTAACATTGTGTTATTAAATATTATCAAGTGGTATTATATAGCGTGCTTTAGAAATTATAGAAATTTACATTTTATATCCCCCGGGCGTCATTGGTAGAAAATTACTGCGCGAATGCAGAGTGTATAATAATTTTGGTCCAAATTGTGCAACGCAGGAAAAGAGACATCTCCGACCCTATAAAGTATATATACTCTTGATCAGGATCACCTCCTGAGTTGAAATGAGCATGTCCGGCTGTCCATCTGTCTGTCTGTCTGTCTGTCTGTTTCTACGCGAACTAGTCTCTCAGTTTCAAAGCTATCGACTTTGCACACACTTCTTTCCTTCGCAATAAGTCGGAACGGCCGAGATCGGCCGACTACATCCTATAGCTGCCAAATAACTGATTGATCGGAAATGCTACTACTACTACTGTGGGAAAAATGTAAAGTGAATTTTCAATTTAAAATTCGCGGGCTTAAGATGGCGGATTAGTTTTTTTTGTCTTATGTTGGCAGGACTGTTTATGACATCTGGTAATTTCGGTACTTTCATTTCAATGTCAGTATCAGTACACAATATTTTGTGCATTTGTCGATTTTTACAATGTCTGATTTAATTGAGCAGAGAAGTAGCATCAAATTTTGTTTGCGAAATGAAATTTCGGCTGCTGGAACGTTGAGGATGTTGCGGAAGGCTTTTGGTAATTCTACCATGTCTCACAAAAATGTTTATAAGTGGTACAAAGACTTAAAAGAGGGTCGGGATGACTTGGGACGTGTTGATGACTTGGAGTTCGAAAATCAAGGTTATAATAAGTCTTTTTTCGATTTTCGTGGTGTGGTGCACTATGAATTCCTTTTCATTCCTTTCGTTTGCGTGAAGCAATTCGTCGAAAAAGACCAGAATTATGGGCCAACACCTTTTGGTTTTTTCATCACGGTAATGCAACGTCGCACACTGCACTCGTTCTTCATGACCATTTCGCCAAGAATTCGACGCATATCGTTCCGCAACCGCCGTAACTCCTGATTTGGCTCCATGTGACTTCTGGCTATTCCCAAAACTCAAGAGACCACTCCGGGTAACGCGTTTCGAAACGGTTGGGTAATACCATAAGGGTATTTAATAGGAAGGATTAATAGGATTACTTAATTTAAAAGGATTACTTTGAAGGAGATGAAATTGATTCAGGAGAATAAACAAAAAAATTTGAATTTTACAAACAAATTCACATTACTTTTTGCCCACAGTAGTATAACTTTGGTGTTTTTAAAGTTAGAGAGTTCCGTACAAATGCTATTTTTCCCAAAACAATACGATCAAATTTCATAACGATCAACCGACTATAACCTATAGCTGTCATATAAGTGAACAATCGTAAATGACCCAACTTTTGTGTTTTTGAAGATAGAAAATTGGAAATGCGTACTGATTCTATTTTAGGTCAGTTAAGGTCCCACATACCAACTTTCATAACTATCGGACGACTATATCTAATTGCTGCCATATAACTGCACGATCGGATATGGTATTTGGTAAAAATACCAACTTTGGTGTTCTTGAAAATAGAAGTTTCAGACTTTTTTTGTATTGTAACAAAAAGATATTGTATTGTAATAAATTGGTTATATTATGATATTCTAATAAGGATCGGCCAACTATATCCGATTTTAGGGATATATGTATATCCGGTGTTAACTGCAAGGGTATATCAACTTCGGCTCCGGTCGAAGTTAGCTTTCCTTCCTTGTTTTTAATAAAAATAACGACCTGTTATTTTTACCTGATTTCTAAAAGGGTTATTACACACTTAATTTTAGTCAACTCTGAAGAAGTGAAGAAGACGCGGTGAAGGAGATCTCTTACCCTATATTTAAGAAAGGATATTATTGATCATGATCACCTCCGATATAAGATTGTCTGTCGGTCAGTCTGATCCACTGTCTGTCTTTTAGCTTTAAAGCCATTGGCTTATCAATTTTCTCAAAACCTTTCTTTTTCCCTTTCCCTTTCTTTATGTACATATGTATATAGAAATGGTCGGGAAAGGTAGAAAGGTGTATTGCTATAAATCATAACTTTTTAATGCCATAACTTGGTGTTTTTTAGGTTAAAAGGTTCGGACTTTCTACAGATTCTGTTTTTGGCCAATAAATCAAATCTAGATGAGTGATCGAAAATGTCATCACTTTTTTGATAGAAAATAATCTTACTAAGCCGAATAAGCAATATTTCAACCGCATATTAATGATATTGGAAAAACGTATTAAATAGGGTTTTAACGATTTTTTTTAAAACGTAATTTAGGGTAATTTGAGTATTTTTTCCATTGTCCCATAATCAGCAACCAAAATAGTTACTTATTATATATTCTGAAAGTTAAAATCTTGAAAAATTGCAGTAAACAGTATAGAATAATATTAGTCATATAATTACTTACATCACAAGTTAAAATCACTTTGCTTCCTTGCACTGTATGATGCTCAACACCATTCATTTCAATGCTTGTTGGGCGTACTAAAATAAAAAATATTGTCAAATATTATAATTTTGAGCCACTGTGTATAGAGAATGCTCCATCTAGTTGCAAGATTCTAGTGCATCGGTACCTTAAAGATGAATTTCTTGAGACTACTTAAATCGATTTCAATAAATGAAGATAAAGAAATTTTTAAAACTATATCGATCGAATTACTTTAAATACAACAATTTTTTTGGAAATTTTCATTGCATTGGCCAGTAGGTAAGTGATAAAGTGGCGATTTCGGCAACAATGTGGTTCTCTTGGTCTCAGTGGTCTATGGCGAGGAAAAAACCGTATCGAAATAATTTTCAAAGAGGTCCGGAGAAAACGAATTTTTGTTCAATGCATGCAGTGAATGAAATGAATAAGTACATGCCTTCCCTAATATTGGTAATATATGGTGGACATGCTTAATATGAATTTTCTTTATTGCATTACCTTGCAAGTTTATACTAAATTTTTTAACAATAGTTTCTGGCATAGCTGCCGACTTCACTCGGCATTCTATTTCTTGGGCCAGATCTTCACGTGATAATGACCAATCCAATTCTAGTGTTGATGTGAAAAGACCGTCTTTAATGTCATGCGTAGGTGAATCTGTGAAAAAACGGAGGCATAAATACGTAAATATTTTGTAAAAATACGTAAAAATATATAAATGGCTATATTTTAATTGAGCATTTTTTTACCCCTGCAAAGAGATACCCTTTGCTAGACAAACAAAGTTTGTCTTAAACTTTTGACCCCGTTTGATTAGTTTTAATCCCGATTTAAGCTTTCCTTTCTTTTATTTTGCCTCCAATCCTTTCATTAAGTCAAATTAAAGAGCGGAAGTGCCCGAAAAAAATGGACCCAAACGTGATCTCCGGGCGTGGCGATATCGACTCGACTTTTAATGCTGATCAAGAATATATATTTACTTTATGGAGATTGTACCATCACTATATTACATACATATGGGCATTTCCTGGGGTCGCGAACGTACGTTTGTACGCAATTAGTGCCAAAAAATTAAAGAAAAAAACAGTTTCTGATACTTTTTTTTTGTTTCCGATAGCATTTTGTGAGTTCTTTTCTTAGTGTAAATTATGGTTCTAATGGATTTTTCATTTTCATAATATGGGCAAAAAACACGAGGTCGCGAACGTACGCGAAATGGAAGTCGGTTTCGGCTTGATCTAGCAAAATCAATAAATCTGCGAATTGGAATGGAATAATGCAATAACTTTTTTTTTTAAATAGAGGCATGTAGCTTTTTATCGAGTCTATTCTGAATTAAATATCTCCATTAGTTTTTTTTAAATTAAATTAAGTAGGGGTCGCAAACGTACGATTTTTCCACATAAAATTTTTTTTTTTTTTTTTTTTGTTTATCTCTTTGTTTTTATAAATAAATTTATATTTTCTTAAAAAATCACGTTTCACCCTTTTTTTTTTTTTTAATAAAAAATTAAATTTAAATTTTATTTTTAATTTTAATTTTAATTGTCACTTCTTTTATCCATCTACAACAATTTATAAGCTTGTTAAACGAAAGAAAATTTTTTTTTTAAATAATATTATTTTTTATACGTATGTACGTCATACGGTCGCAAACGTACGCCACTTTAAAATTCAATATAAAAAAATTTTCTTGAAAAAGTCGGGATTTGTTTTTTAAATTTCAATAGTTTACACTAAAATGACTCAACACATAAAGTTTCATCCACCTGCTTTCACTTGATGCGAAGCAATTACAATAAAATTATGTTTTGGGTTGCGAACGTACGATTAGAACATAGATAAGAATCAAAGTACAAATTAAGAGGTAATTGAACATTTTTTCGCTCTCTTTGAATTTTTCTCGTCTTATTAAATTTTTATTAAGAGATTTAGTACAAAAATAGCAAACACATCATATGTTTTCCTTGAGAAATAAATGAACATAAAAATGTCTTTAAAAGTAAAAAAAGGTAAAAATTACATTTTTACATACTTTTCTTGCTTTTTAAAAAAAATAAAAAAAATTGACATATGCTATAAATCCCGTAGATTATAAAAATTTGGATATTTTTTTATGAAAATACAAAAAAAGAATCGAGGAACATGGACATTTATTTTTTCGGTCCTGGTTGACCATCCGCCGGAATAGCCGATATGTACATACATATACATGAATATGTCGCAGAATAATTTAAACATTCAAATTATAACGATTATTTGTTGGTACACATTTGTTTTATTTCTTTGTGGTTCCCCTTTCTTTCGTGCGAGGCAGATACATAATTCTGTCAACGTAGTCTGGCCGTGGGCATGAGTGAGAAAGAGAGTGTTCGTCATAACTCACCACACTGTGCGTGTGTATTGGAGGGTGAGAAGGAATTGAAAAGGGATCGACATGAATTAAGCAGTCGAGTTGTGAAATTCAATCAACATGCCACGCGCCAGAAAACGTTTCGCCGAAAGTCCGGTCAAAGACTCGGATAATGAATCCTCGTCATCAGAAGTGGGATTACCTCCGCCTCCAGCCGATGATGCAAATCTTTTGTCAATTTTGGAGATGCAAAATCGTAATTTCGCTGAGCTAATAAAACAAGTGCAGTGCTCTCAAAATGAACCAAAAGATGCCAAAAACATTGTTCTGCCAAAGTTCAACCCTGATCGTGCAGGATCAGACGCTCTCTCCTGGTGTTCAACGGTCGACTACATCTTGTCCGAAAACCAGCTAGTGGGCAGCGCTCTTGTAATGTCCCTCGTAAAAAATCGTAATTTCGCTGAGCTAATAAAACAAGTGCAGTGCTCTCAAAATGAACCAAAAGATGCCAAAAACATTGTTCTGCCAAAGTTCAACCCTGATCGTGCAGGATCAGACGCTCTCTCCTGGTGTTCAACGGTCGACTACATCTTGTCCGAAAACCAGCTAGTGGGCAGCGCTCTTGTAATGTCCCTCAGCAAATCACTGGAAGGCACCGCATCTCACTGGCTCTCGCAGACATGTTTTCCCGGCATTACGTGGACGCAGTTCCGAGAATTATTTTTGCAATATTTTTCTGGAACGGAGACTTTGGCCGCAACCGTTATGAATTTGCTAAATGCACGCCCAAACGAAGGAGAGTGCTTGTCGCTGTATGGAAGCAGAATGGTCACATCACTTATGGCCCGCTGGAAGTCACTTAGCGTCGAGCAGATTGCAGTATCCGTTACGTTGGCACATGCAGCTGGGATAGACAAACGATTGCGCCGCTTGGTTTTTACGACGGATATCAAAACCAGAAAAGAGCTGCATCAGGAACTCAAAGCCTTTTCGTTCGACACTAGACAGAACCAGCATTCAAGTGACAACTTATCAGCAGCCCAAGGAAAAAGAGTCAGGACTATGTCTCACATCACGTGTCTTAATTGTGGCAAACCCGGACACAAGAAGGCGGAATGTCGCTTTAATAAAGAGGCAACTCAGCGTCAGCAGCCCCGTAATCAACAATTTGGAGCAAAAGATCGATCATCCGTGATCTGCTATAAATGTGGAAAAGCTGGACATGTATCTACTGTGTGCCCAGATCGTCAGGAGCGTCCGCCGATGAAGAGCAATACCATCAAAGACGTAAACATATGCACAGTACTTGAGCCCTTAGGAACGTTGCGGCAGTTTGGTGAGTCGTTCCAATTTTACTTCGACTCCGGAGCCGAATGTTCACTCATCAAAGAGACTGCATCACTGAGATTATCCGGCACTAGAATAAATAACGTAGTGACATTGAGGGGTATAGGTGGCAACTCTGTTTGCAGCACTTTACAGATATTGGCGAATGTTTTAATTTGTGAGCGTTCTTTCGAAATCTTGTTTCACGTAGTTTTAGACAATCATATCAAATACGACGCTCTGATTGGCCGGGAAATTTTGAGCCAGGGCATCGGCGTGACAATTACATCAAGCGCGCTTACTATGTTTAACGAAAAGTCTGTATTACCTGTCGTAGTTTCCGAATGCACTCCTGACCTGGCTGATGTCGATACCGATTTACATGGACAGGATAAAGACAAACTGCTCTCAATATTACAGGGGTATTCAAATTCTTTTATAAACGGTATACCACAGAGTCGCGTGACTACGGGACAGTTAGAGATTCGCTTGATTGATCAGAATAGGACGGTTCAGAGACGCCCTTATCGATTGAGTGTGGAAGAAAAAGAAAAGGTTAGACATTCCATTCAAGAGCTGTTGGAAGCAAACATAATAAGACACAGTTCCTCTCCTTTCGCGAGTCCGATGTTACTTGTCCGCAAGAAAAATGGTACAGACCGTCTGTGTGTTGACTATCGTGAGCTTAATGCCAATACCGTTTCCGACAAGTACCCATTGCCACTTATATCTGACCAGATAGCTAGGTTGAGTGGTGCTAGGTTTTTCACGTGCATTGACATGGCGAGTGGCTTCCATCAGATCCCAATACATCCAAGCTCTATTGAACGGACAGCTTTTGTAACCCCAGAAGGGCAGTATGAATACTTGGCTATGCCTTTTGGGCTTAAAAATGCGCCTTCTGTATTCCAGAGGGCCATTAATCGTGCCCTAGGCGATCTGACTCATACATATGCCATCGTTTATATGGACGATGTAATGATAGTTGCACGCACAAAGGAGGAAGCTTTCGACAGGCTAAAAATAACTCTACAAGCACTCGTCGAAGCAGGATTTTCTTTCAACATTAAAAAATGCTCCTTTCTTAAATCTTGGGTAGAATATTTGGGCTTCGAAGTTAGAGCAGGTGAAATTCGACCGAATCCTAGAAAAATACAAGCTCTTACAGATTTACCGCCTCCGCAATCTGTGACTCAACTGAGACAATTTATTGGACTGGTCTCGTATTTTCGTCAGTTTGTACCCAAGTTTTCACAGTTACTGAAACCACTCTATGCTCTAACTTCAAAAAGCATGTCATTTTCATGGGAATTAGAGCACGAGCAAATACGACAGAAGGTAATTTCAATCCTGACTAGTGAACCTGTTCTTACTATTTTCGATCCACAATTTCCTATTGAGCTTCATACAGATGCGAGTGCCGATGGCTATGGCGCAATTTTGTTGCACAAAATCGAAAACAAGCCACGAGTTATCGAATACTTTAGTAAACGGACTTCGTCAGCGGAATCGCGTTATCACTCGTATGAGTTGGAAACACTTGCAGTTTTCAATTCTATTAAGCATTTTCGCCATTACTTGCATGGTCGACATTTTATCGTTTTTACCGATTGCAATTCTCTCAAGGCATCTCGCACAAAAGCGGAACTGACTCCAAGAGTCCATAGGTGGTGGTCGTACATGCAATCTTTTGAGTTTGACATTCAGTATAGGCCAGGCGTACGAATGGCTCACGTAGATTTTCTGTCTCGAAATCCCATATCAAAAGATCGCATCCAGTCAAAAGGTACAGTGGAAAAACATATAAATTTAACAGAGATTACTGACAAATGGTTGTTAGCTGAGCAGCAACGAGACGTAGAAACGTCGTCTATTGTTTCTAAATTGCGTAACGATGATCTTTCTGAGGATTTGGCCAAAACGTTCGAGTTAAGGGCAGGAACGCTGTATAGGAAAATTCAAAGAAACGGAAAGACTCGTTGTCTCCCTATCATCCCAAAGCCATTTAGGTGGTCAGCTGTAAACAATGTGCACGAGTCAATTATGCACCTTGGTTGGGAAAAAACCCTTGAGAAAATGTACGAATACTATTGGTTTGACAAGATGTCCAAATACGTTCGCAAATTTGTCGACAACTGTATTACATGCAGATTGTCAAAGCCCCCATCTGGTAGGGTACAAGCGGAATTGCATCCCATACCAAAGGTTAACATCCCGTGGCATACAGTCCACATCGACATCACAGGGAAGCTTAGTGGTAAAAATGAACAGAAGGAATACATAATCGTGTCAATAGACGCCTTCACGAAGTTTGTCTTTTTATCTCATACATCGAGGCTAGACACCGAGAGCTGTATTAGGGCATTAAGATCACAAATATCATTGTTCGGCGTACCCTCTCGTCTGATCGCAGACCAGGGACGTAGTTTTTCAAGCACAGCATTCCGTGATTTCTGTTCGGTTCAAAAGATAGATTTGCATCTGATCGCCACGGGTGCTAGTCGGGCCAATGGCCAAGTAGAGCGAGTTATGAGTACTCTAAAGTCCATGCTAACAGCGGTTGAGACAGGTCAGGGGTCATGGCAAGATGCTTTATGCGAAATTCAACTGGCTCTTAATTGTACGCCCAATAGAGTGACCAAGGTTAGCCCTTTAGAACTACTTATTGGCAAAGAAGCAAGGCCGTTTGGTCTCGTACCTGTTGTTGAAAATGAGAACGATGTTGATATTGATAAAGTTAGAGAAATGGCTAAGCAAAACATGGAAAAGAACGCCAATTATGATAAGGCTAGATTTGATAAAGATAAGGCTACTATTGTAAGACATAAAGTTGGTGATCACGTTTTGCTTAAGAACGAAGAGCGACATCAGACAAAATTAGACCCTAAGTTTAGAGGACCGTTTTTAGTAACCGAAATATTGGAAGGAGATCGGTATAAACTTAAGGCACTAACTAATAATAGAACCTATAAATATTCTCACGAATTTTTGAGGCGTATGCCTGAGAAGGGGATTACCACAGAGTTGGATGATGAGTGTGATGATGAAGAAATCACAGAACTGAATGATGAAGTCAGTGATGAAGATGCCACAGATCAAGCCGGCGAGGGCTGTGATCTTGAAATAGAATAAAGACCTTTCCGGATCGGTTCCATATTTCATGACTTTCTGTAGAGGTGAGCGCCCGAGTTATGTGGTTCTCCATTTGCTGCATTAATATTGAAATTTTGGTAATGATCGGACGTCAGTTATTTGGCCGGCTTATAAACTAAACTGTGAGCTATTTGTGATGGCCGGTTTGTCTGGATATAAGCTGTGGGCTAAATTAACTTGTTTATTGGCTGGCCAGTTTATTTTGTTAATGACTGTGTGCTAGTAGTTGGCATGATTTTTGTAAATGAAATGAAGAATATGATCGCCTTATGAAAGAAAAGGCTGAATAATTTTAATTGTTTGAATTTAAGTTGGTGGTAATCTGAATCTCATGGCAAACGTTGTATAAGAGTAAGAAATAATTTGTTCAATTTTTATTTAAGAAGAAAAATGTATTTTTGCGAAACCTGCTTGAATTTGAATATGTATTAAAAGGAAAATAATAATAATAATAATAAGAGAATATTTTGTAAAACCTTTATATTGTAAACTCACGAGGACGTGAGATAGGTCAGGAAGGCCGTGTCGCAGAATAATTTAAACATTCAAATTATAACGATTATTTGTTGGTACACATTTGTTTTATTTCTTTGTGGTTCCCCTTTCTTTCGTGCGAGGCAGATACATAATTCTGTCAACGTAGTCTGGCCGTGGGCATGAGTGAGAAAGAGAGTGTTCGTCATAACTCACCACACTGTGCGTGTGTATTGGAGGGTGAGAAGGAATTGAAAAGGGATCGACATGAATTAAGCAGTCGAGTTGTGAAATTCAATCAACATGCCACGCGCCAGAAAACGTTTCGCCGAAAGTCCGGTCAAAGACTCGGATAATGAATCCTCGTCAAATACAATATACCCTTGTACCGTGTATGTTATACACTGTATGTATACACAGTATGCATTCCTTCTCCCTGCTACATATATGTACACGACTACTACAACTGTGTATGAGAGTAGAGTACAAGTTATTTCAAAGTCGAGTATCTTGACAATAGAGCTCCTTATAAACATTAATAATGTATAATTAATTTTATTAGACTTTTTGAATTGAATTACTTACATGTTGTCAGTCGCTTGGATCCACGAAACCAACCCACTTCTGGCTGAGGACGTGTATTTTTTACAGTACAAGTTGCTTTGAGGGACTGACGCTCCTGCATTGGACCCACTGTATTGCCATTCTCAATTCGGTCGCCCTTCGCATCCAATATTATAACTTCCGATGGTGGCACTGCATAATTGTGTGTTTAAAATCCCATATATAATTTTTTTTTATTAATATATTTTGAGAGTCAACATTTAATTGTATCGTCTAGTTTTGTTTTTCAATAATTGAACTCTTGAATAATAAAATGAACTTGAAATTTTTTTTTTTATATTCTAATAAATTTTGAACAAAAACTAATGACGGTGAAAATTAGGGAAATTAAAATATAACAAAATTTAAACAAATATTATTTTAATTAATTTTTTATAACAAGGATATAACATCCTTATAAATATTAGTTCAATTTATACGTTAACTATACCCAGATTTTCTTAAAACGAAGAAAAAGATGGGTTGTTAAAAATTTTATTTTATTAGTAGAGATATTATAAAAAGTTTAAGAAGTTTAAAGTTTTAGTTTTCATTTTTAGTTAATATTAATCAGATTTATTAAAATAATTTTTCATTAAGAGTAAATGTTTTAAAAAAATATTCCAATCCATGTTTGAGGGGTTTTTTTAAAAGAAAACAATAATTTTAATATATATTTTCAAGGATTTTAGTCGCGTGCAGATGTTATGTCGTAAGCAAAGATATAAAAGAGAGAGATTGGTTAATAGAAAGGTTATTTACTTTAATAAGTAAGTGGTTTTTAATAAGAAAATTGTTTACAAAATAAACATAAGAGAAATGTAGCATATAATTTAAGTTAGCTTGGTGGTGTTTCTTTACTTTAAAAGAATCAGACATCCATTAAAAACAAGAAAGGACAGATTAAGTCGATTTTCCCGCCTATATTATACTAGGTACTCATAACTTTCACCAACACTTAAACCACTAACTATATACAACTAATGCCATCAAAACATTTTCCAAAAATTTGTTTCAAATGGCAATACAACAAGATTTACGTTTTTGGAGCGGGTGTGGGTGCGAAAAAATTGTGAGACAAATTGAGTTCAAGTTCCAAATTGGATAAGTCCATAGTCTCCGAACTCCACGCGTTTAAATTTGTACACATTTGTATGTGAATTGTTTGTTTTTATAGAAAGGTGTTTTTTTTAGAGGTATAGAACTTTAAATATCAATAAAACAGCGATGGATTATTCGATTGACATGCATTTTTTTTTATTCGAAAGATAATCTTGTGGCATTTAATATGATTATTGGCATATGACCCCCACGGCTGGCTCGGATGTGGTCGAATCTGGACGTCAATTTTCGATGGGTTTCTTCAACATTTGTGGCCGTATTCGGCAATATAACGGCGAATGTTGTCTTCCAAATGGTCAAGCGTTTGTGGGTTATCCGAATAGACCAATGACTTTATATAGCTTTACATAAAGTAGTCTAGCGGTGTTAAATCACAAGATTGAGGAGGCCAACTTACAGGTCCAAAACGTGAAATTCGGCGGTCACCAAACGTGTCTTTCAATAAATCGATTTTGGAACGAGCTGTGTGACATGTTGCGCCGTCTTGTTGGAAAACGCACCAAACAGTTAGTTTTTCTGGACGTAACGGTGTTTTGCGTACACTTGAGGGTTAGCTTCACTCCAGATGCGGTAGTTTTGTTTGTTGACGTAGCCAGAAGTGCGCTTTATCGCTGAACAAAATTAATAAAAATATCGAGAAAATCGGGAAAAATGGCCATCTCGTTTTGATTGTTTGGCTTCAACGAGTTTCTAGCACGAGTTGGATTTTGTAAGCAGGCAAACCAAGATCCTTCCACAAATCATTAAGTGGATGAACATTAATTAGTGGATGAAGTTGATGATTCAATTACTGTGCGCGATGGCGGATGGACTCATTCGGGTCTTCCTTAATGCTACGCTCTATCGTAGCAATAGCTTCTTCTGAACGCACCGTACGGTGTCTCTGGAAATGCAAGTTATCAATAAGAGTAAACGTGGTGCGAAAACTTTCCATGGTTAATTGAATTAACTTTTCTGATGAACGATAAGTGCGCGATAAGTATTCCGGACAGAACCATTATTTTCAAAATAAAAGTTTACTATTTGCAAGCGTAATTCAGGCGTGAGTCAATTCATAACGAATTGCCAAACCAAACTGAGAGTAAATCACTTGACAGCTGTTAAATCGGTCGCCATCTTGAACAGTAATGCCAACTTAAAGTTCTATAACTCTAAAAAATAGCATACAACATGTTATGAAAAAACATGTTACACACATTCACACGAATAAAATATATCATTGTATCGGCGAGTACCGGGTGTAAAAATAAATGGGTTTAAAATATAAGAAATTTCTCCCTTCATTAACATCCCATATTAAGGGTATATGGAGGATATATTGGATATTAAGAATATTCCATACTAAGGATATATGCACTACGTGTATTGCTTATATTTATTACTTATATCATAAAAGCATCTTATTTATATAATAGGAATACTTCTTAAATAAAAAGAATTAAATTGAGCAATTACCTAAGACTCGTAGTTCAATTCGGTACCCATTGAAGTTATCGCAGCTTTCTTCTGGTATGAAAAATGTTGTATCACAAAGATAAATGTCTTCATCTCCAATTTGTAAGTCATTAATAATTAGCCTATACGGATTTAGCACAACAGTTACCCTTAAAATAATCAATTAAACTTAAAACCATTACAATTACACAAAAATTTATATATTTTTATACCTGTTTTGGTATTTCTCATTTACGTTCATAACGTTTGTTTCCCCCAAGAGCATTGCAGCAATACGGTCTTCTCCTTTGAACCAGTTTAAAGAATGTAGTTTTCCACATTTTGCTTCATTAACGGGACAAGTGAGGATCACTGACTTAGTTTCCAGTTCACTGACTGTTCTATCTAAAATTAAAATAAATAAGTTATAAATATTCATTTAACTATTTTATTACATTAGTAAACTTAGTAAACATTATGATTTTTTTTTCTATAAATATTGTTTTGAGAATAATGCACCATGTCTTAGGAATTATAAATCTTGTGATAAGGTCATCGGATGGGACGACAGTGAAGGAGACATCTCCGACTCTACAATGTATATACATACATATGTACATTCTTGATCACCTCCTGAGTTGATATAAGCATGCCCGTTTGTCTGTCTGTTTCTACGCGAACTAGTCTCTCAGTTTTAAAGATAAAGACTTAAAAAGACTCTTTCACCAAAGATAAAGACTCTTTGCACCCAGTAAATACATAAGTCGACTATAACTTATTTGATAAGTTATCCTTATCCTAAGTTGTCCTTTTTATTTAAAGGACTATATTAAGTCCTTTTTGGTCCTTTTTCATTATATATTTTCTATTAAATTGGATTTCTAATTAAATTCTCATAATGATCGGCCAACCATATCCTATATTTGAGATTTATATCCGATCCTAACTGCAACAGTATAAAAACTTCGGCTCTGCCCGAAGTTAGCTTTCCTTTCTTGTTTTGAATTGGAGTTGGAACGTCCTTTCCCAAGATACATAAATCCTAACAATGAATTCTTGTTAGAACCACTAAAGATTTGATTCATCAAAAGAGAAAAGGACGCAACCTACAGGGAGTCTACAAAAAAAATTTAGTTTTAGAGCTTTTCCTGGCAAAATGTTCATACAACTTACAGTACGTAGAAAATATAGTTTTAAGGTACTCATAACATTTTTTTACCATTCAAGGTGTGTTCAAATGAAAAAATTTAACCTTTTTTTAAAGAAAATATATTTTTAAGATTAAATTTGTATGGCGCCATCTTCTTCAGTCTTTATATATTTAATCGTTTTAATCTTCGTTCGCTCCCTTTATTTCCAAACAAAATCCCTGTGATATATTGGAAAAAAAATGGCAACTGGAATGTCGAAATTACTTCTATTGTTTACTGTTGCGTCCTATTTATTTTTATGTTGCACGGACATATTTTTATGTCCGTTTACAAGCATTGTACGATAGTTTGTGTAACTATCGTTCATATAATAACTCATATGAATAACTTAAGAGACTCCTTTTTTATGGGAGGAAATTTTACCGCAAAACATATATCCTGGGGGAAATTGAGACCAGAGGCAATAGGTTTCTGATCCCCATATTTTAGCGACTGGGTATCCAGCTTTACTCCAATTCACTCACTTCTATGTTATACATTCAAATAAGCTGAGTATCAGTACAGAATGCCAACTCTCCTCAGATCATCTTCATCTAATAGCCAAACATAACCCTACGCCGAAGATAGGAACCCCAAAAGGCCGATTGTGTTCCCCTGGTGCAGATTTGGATTTACGAAATACTCGTAAAGATCTAAGGAAATCCAATCGCCAAGAGATATAGGGGAGGCAAATTCCATTTTCATGGTCTTCATTCAAGTTCACGATTATGCATTAGAGACTATGCATGATCCATAAAGCTGGTAAGAGCCCAATCATCCTATTATCATCAATGGGTAATTGTTCCACCTTTGCTTTTTGAATACTGGACATCTTTCCATTTGGTTTCCGTAAACCACACGGAACGACTGAATAACTGAACAGGGTGGTAAACTTTATCCTAAAAGGATTTTAGACCAAGGAGTATGTTGTGTCTGTGTACCTCGATACAAGGCAAGCCTTCGATAGAGCCAACCTCAACATTAGCTTCTGGTGCTAAGCTTTTTGAAACAGAGATCGTTCACAGTCGTTCTAGATAGGGATGAGTCCAATACAAAAGAAATCCTGGAAAGAGTCCCCCAGGGTAGCGCCCTGTTCCTTTTGCAGATAACACTGCCATTCTGGCCACTGGTAATTATGTGGGGTGGAAGAGATGAGTTTCGGGTAACTAACTCTTGTTAGATTCTCTCTTTTAGTTAGTTCTTGTTAGAACTCCTGTTAGATTCGGCTAACTAGATTTTTTTTCCCCAAGTGATTATTTTTAACCCAATTTTAAAAGGCTGGCTATATCCGGAACGGTCGGAAATGGCTTAACATTTGTATCTTGAAGATATAAACTTATAACTTTATACAATTATTACAGCTTCATTACCACATCATTGTTAGAAATTTTTACGCCATGCTTCAATTATACACTGCCGATCAACATAAACATAAATTCGCTTGTATTTTCATGATTTTTATACCCTTGCAGAGGGTATTATAATTTTGTCCAAAAGTGTGCAACGCAGTGAAAAAGACATCTCCGACCCTATAAAGTATATATATTCTTGATCAGGATCACCTCCTGAGTTGATATGAGCATGTCCGTCTGTCCGTCTGTCTGTCTGTTTCTACGCGAACTAGTCTCTCAGTTTTAAAGCTATCGACTTGAAACTTTGCACACACCCTTCTTTCCTTTGCACGCAGTATATAAGTCGGAACGACCGGGATCGGCCGACTATATCCTATAGCTGCCATGTAACTGATTGATCGGAATTGGTATAACTTTGGTGTTTTTAGAGTTAGAGAGTTCAAATTTGACAAGAGAGCTAGTTTTGGCAAAACATTACGACATGCCAAATTTTATAAGGATCGTCCGACTATATTCTATAGCTGCCATATAACTGAACGATCGGAAATGACCCAACTTTCGTGTTTTTGAAGATAAAAAGCTGGAACTTGGTACAGATTATATTTTTGGTCAGTTAATTCGACCTACCAAATTTTATAATGACCGGCTGACTATATCTTATAGCTGCCATATAGCTGAACGATCGGAAATGGTTTTTGGTAGAAATACCAACTTTGGTATTTTTGAAGATACAAGTTTGGGACGTTTTTTAGATTTTATGTTATAATAAATTGGGTTATATTATCATATTCTCATAAGGTTCGGCCAACTATATCCGATGTTTGCAATATATATCCGGTTTTAACTGCAAGAGTATATCAACTTCGGCTCCGCCCAAAGTTAGCTTTCCTTTTAGGTATTTAGGTACGCGTTTTAGGTATTTATTGAACTCCGTCGTTCGGTTAGTATAAATTGTAATGGTGAAAATGCTCTTTCAAGATATACTTGAGTAGCCGGGATGGTAAAGACTACAATGTGCAAGCACACTCAAGTTTGGCTGTTTTAGCCTTACATTTGTATAAAAATGTAGTATATCGTCGTTCTAAGTATACTCTTGCAGAGGATATTATAATTTTGTTCAAAAATGTGCAACGCAGTGATGAATAATCTCCGTTCCTATAAATTATATATATTCTTTATCAGGACCATCTCCTGAGTTGATATAAGCATGTCCGTCTGTCTGTTTCTACGCAAACTAGTATCTGAGTTTTAAAAGTATCGTCTTGAAACTTTGCACAAACCCTTATTTTCTTTGCACGCAGTATATAAGTCGGAACGGCCGGGATCGGCCGAGTATATCCTATAGCTGCCCTATTTTTATCCTATAGCTAAATTAATTTCGAAATGCCTATAACTGAACGGTTGGAAATATACAGATTATATTTTTGGTCAGTTAATCCGACCTACAAAATTTCATAGCGATCCGCCGACTATATCTTCTAGCTGCCATATAACTGAACGATCGGAAATGGTATTTGGTGAAAATACTAACATTTGTATTTTTGAGGATAGAAGCTTTAGGCTTTTTTTTAAGATTTTGTATTGTAATAAATTGGTTATTTTATTATATTCTCATAATGATCGGCCCACTAAATCCGATTTTTGCGATATATATCCGGTTTTAACTGCAAGGGTATATCAACTTCGGCTACGCCCGAATGATTTTTATTTTAATATAATTTAAGATAAAAGAAAAAAAATCTGTAAATAGGAAAACTGGTTTAGGAATATTAAATAAATTTCTACCTCTGAGATAATAAACCTATTCAGTTGAGCGGCAGTGTAAGTTTTTTGAACTTTCTTAAAAGGGACTCACTGTACTCTTCACCTTTCCAATTACATTTTTTCAGCTTCTCCACCTAAATTCCTCAAAATCATTTCCCATGAAGAAAGAGAATAAAAAAAGTCTCCCACAACTCTTACGTACACACATACATACATAGTTAATAAAGATAAAGAAAAAACAGAATTCTAACTGCGTGCAGAATCTAAAATGGCCACTCCGAATTAAACTGACCGACTCACCCTATCGAATAACCTTGCAGGGAAACAAATAAATATAATCTTATACATTCGAAAACAGTCTAACCTATACTCAAATTCCTTTTGAATATTTTTATTAAAATACACGTTAAAGCAACAAAAAAAAAATCATCTTCCACATTTCTTACCAAATCACTGAAATTTGATCACTTTTTCTTGAGAGAACTATTATTTAATAGATTTAAGTTTAATTTATATGTTTCGGTAATACAAAAAACTAAAAAATAATGCTAACATTTTACGCGGGAGGTACTGCAATGTGAATAAACGCAATATTATAAAAAAATATATAGAGATAGAAAACTTGTGAAATTAATTTCGTTTTTTAGTAAAAAATACCTAATAAAGCCATAAACTATTGAAACTACTTTCAAAATGTAAGCAATATTGATCTAAGACTACTCTGTAAGTCAATATACATAGTACTGCGTCAGGGCAAGGTGGTTTAGCTAAAGTCTGCTAAAAAGCTTAAAGAAGCAAAATCAAATGCAAAATCATGGTTTAAACAGTTGGCTAATATACAAAGTTAGTTAATCTAAACTTCTTAATCTCAGGGAATGTTCCACCTTTAAATGGGAGACACATTACCCAGAGCATATAGTTTTACAAGTAACCGCCAAATGCCACGACTCGAAAATGGGGAAAAATTGTGTGCTCAGGTGGGCGCAAAGTGGTTATTTTTTATGGTAAATTATATAGAAGTCAAAATAACTTAATATGCAGCTTTCATACAACAAAAAAATGAATTTGATTTTTACAGTACAGTTGTCTGGACATACTTTTCCAATCAGGAAAAGTCCTCTGTACATGGCATAAAACCCATCACGGATTCGCATAAATGCTTTAATATCTTGAACTTATTGAAGTAATAAAAAAAATGTTACTTAAAAAGGTTCTTTAGCAGGACAATGATACAAAAGGAAGGACCAGAGGAATGGTTTGAGGAAACTCTATGAACATGTTGGAGTCACTTGGGCAGTCGTCTATCTTCAATCCCACAGAAAATATTATGTCCAATGTCAAGGAGATTGTTTTTGAGTCAATTTCAAATGCCAAATGGCCAACATATGAAAATGTAAAAGTTTACAATTACCCATCTTCTGACAGTCGATTAACGCAGCCAGCTAGAACACCCATCAAACCCATCTAATTAGACTCTAATGCTCTAAATGATTGACTGGAAATTTCATAGTGTTTTTAGAGCTATAGAGTTGGCATTTTCTATGGTTTGTATATTTTGCAAAATACCAAGACGTACCAAATTTTATAAGGATCGGTGGACTATATCCTACAGCTGCCATATAACTGCACTTTCGACAATGACCCAACTTTAGTGTTTTTGAATATATTTTCATATTATAAATTCATATTATACCAAATGGGTCTGATATTTAATTTCCTATAAGGACCTGTCATATAGCTTCGATATTGGAATACATATATGTATCTGATCCGATAAATGTAAATTAAAACACATACAATTTCCATTATGTAACAGCTAGGGTATATCATCTTCGCGACGTTTACATGACTTATAGGTGCTATTATCATTAGGATTAAGCTAACACTATTATAAGGCACCTAATGAAGGTCAAAATACTTATTTTATACTTACTTAAATTATACTTACTTACTTACTTAAATACTTAAATACTATACTTAATAAAATATATAAAAAACTTACCAATTTGCGCGTTCGTTACACAAGGTTGAGCCAAAATAAAAATTACTAAAAACGGTATCAAGTCACAAAGCCGAGATAGTTGGAATAAAAAGGTCTTTCGATTTAGAAACCCGTTCCATATTGGAGTAAGAAACATGATTGATGTTGACAATTTTTGCCCGCAATATAAAGCAATTTATTGTTTACTATATCCTATATAAACTGTTTGGTTGCGGTATCTCAATTTTCGGTTTTGTTGTATTAGTGATATAATTTGTTTTGATTATCTTTATTTTTTTATGTTTTAGATTATCAATTTCGTCAGCAGCTGTTTCATTTTAATTTACTTTTAGCCATTTAACATATCCTGAAAATATAAGATAGGTAAAAAAATTGTTATGAGTTAGTTCTTAAAATGGTTATTTTACAATGACACAACCAAAAACACTGTAATAATAATGAGCGGAAATAAATATATAAATATTAGCAGAATATATAGAAATATAGAAACTAATCGTTACTTGTTTTTTTTTAAAGCAAGGGTACAATTTACATGTGGGATCATCTCTGAGAAGGAATCATCTTTGGCCTTAATTCTTAATCAACATCAACAGCCAAGTCTATATAACCATTTCGATCTATTCGTCCGTTTATTTGTCAGTATGAATGAGTATGAGTATTCTTGATCTGGATCACCTCCTGTGTTAATATGACGTACCAAATTTCTTAAGGATCGCCCGACTATATCACATAGATGTCATATAACTGAACAATCGGAAATGACGCAACTTTCGTATTTTTGAAGACAGAAACTTGGAACCTTGTACAGTATCTATTTTTGGTCAGTTGATCCGACCTACCAAATTTCAAAAGTTGGTAATTTCAAATACCAAAAGTGTTTGGTATTCGGTAAAAATACCAACTTTGGTTTATTTGAAGATAAAAGTTAGGGACTTTGATATTGCCATAATTATCTGCCAACTACATCCGATTTTTGCGATATATATCCGGTCTTAACTGCAAGGAAATATAAACTTCGGCTCCGCCCCATGTTAGCTTTCCTTTCTTGTTGGTTTTAGATTCTGTATAGAAATAAATTGGTTTTATTCTGATATTCTCATAAGTATCAGCGATCTATATTCGATGTTTGCGATATACGAGATGTGTTTAAAAAGTAAGGTAACTGTGTATTTTCAAGAAAAACTATTAATTTATTTATCAGTATTTATGTTGTCCCCTTCAAAGTGATCCCCCTCAGATACAATACACTTATGCCAACGGTTTTTCCAATCCTCATAGCACTTCCCATAACTTCCAAGCACTTTTCGGTATAACCTTGAGCTCATCCAGCGATGCAGTCTTTATCTCGTCAGTCGTTGCAAATCTGCGTCCTTTCTTGGGTCTCTTTAGTTTTGGGAACAAGAAAAAGTCACATGGGTGACACAAATCCGGTGAATATGGTGACTAAGGAATTATATTGGTGTTGTCTTTGGCCAAAAAATCTCTCATAAGCAAAGATGAGTGAGCAGGGGCATTAGAGATGCAGAAGCCATGAATTCTTTTTCCACAATTCTGGACGTTCCTTTCGGCGCATAACTACCAGAAAACACTGTTTGTTGACCGTACGACCATATGGTAAGAACTCCTGATGCACCACGCCATGGTAATCGAAGAAAACAGTGTTCAGTGGCATGTTCAAAACTTTGACATTTGATCGAACTCACCTGGGCTCTTCCTTTGGGACGATTTGGCTTTGGTTTCGATATCATAACCATATATTCAATTCTGACCCTTTGAGTAAATCTGGGTCGTCGTTGACGTCATTCAACAGCTCTTGAGCGATGCTCATGCGGCGGTTCTTTTGGTCAAAATTCAGTAATTTTGAAACAAACTTCACTGACCCACGTCTAATGCCCAAAACGTTTGGAAAAATTTCATGGCACGAGCCAAGCGATATACCGACATCTTGAACAACTTCTCTGATAGTGATTCGCCGATTTCCCAAAACAATTTTCTTCACTGCTTGAACGATTGCATCAGTTGTTTACGTGCTTGGGAGTCCAGAGCGAGGCTCGTCATTGGCATCTTCCCGCCCATCTTGGAAGATTTTGTGCCACTTGTAAACATTTTTATATCCTTGCAGAGGGTATTACAATTTTGGTCAAAAGTGTGCAACGCAGTGACGGAGACATCTCCGACCCTATAAAGTATATATATTCTTGATCAGGATCACCTCTTGAGTTGATATGAGCATGTCCGTCTGTCTGTCTGTCCGTCCGTCTGTTTCTACAAAAACTAGTCTCTCAGTTTTTAAGCTTGAAACTTTGCACACACCCTTCTTTCCTTTGCACGCAGTATATAAGTCGGAACGGCCGGGATCGGCCGGGATCGGCCGACTATATCCTATAGCTGCCATATAACTGATTGATCGGAAATGGTATAACTTTGGTGTTTTTAAAGTTAGAAAGTTCAAATTTGACATGAGAGTTACTTTTGGCAAAATAATACGACATGCCAAATTTCATAAGGATCGGCCGACTATATCCCATAGCTGCCATATAACTGAACGATCGGAAATAACCCAACTTTCTTGTTTTTGAAAATAGAAATCTTAAACTTCGTACAAATACTACTTTTGGTCAGATAATCAGACCTACCAAATTTCATAAGGATCGGCCGACTATATCCTATAGCTGCCATACAACTGACCGATCGGAATTGACCCAACTTTTGTGTTTTTGAATATAGAAAGCTGGAACTTGGTACAGATTATATTTTTGGTCAGTTAATCCGACTTACCAAATTTTAAAACGACCAGCTTATCTTATAGCTGCCATATAATTGAACGATCGGAAATGGTTTTTGGTAGAAATACCAACTCTGGTATTTTGGAAATAGAAATTTGGGATTTTGTTTAGATTCTATATAATAATAACTTGAGTTATATTATCATATTCTCATAAGGATCGGCCAACTATATACGATGTTTGCGGTATATATCCGGTTTTACCTGCAAGGGTATATCAACTTCGGCTCCGCCCGAAGTTAGCTTTCCTTTCTTGTTTTAAATAGACTTAAAGTGGATTGCCCAAAAGTCGGATATGGAAACTGGTGAAGGTGAAGAACCTTCCCCAATTGGACCGCAAGGGTCCTTGAGTTACCGCACGGGCAATCGGATCAGAAAAGGATTCCTCCCTTCTTACCTACTAGTTACTATCTACTACTTTCGTGCCGGCAGCTTCTATAGAAGTCATTATATAGTACAGATAGCCTAGCTGCATGTGTTTTCTTCAACCAGTGTTCTTTGTATAAAATACAGAGATCTGCAGCAGTTGATCTTTTCAGAACTACTAATATACTCGTAACCAAAATAACCAGTGCAGAAAAACTTATTTAAAAATGTAATAGGAATTTGAATTTTAAATCGGATCTTTACTTTTTCCATTCATTATACCCTTGCAGAGGGTATTATAATTTTGGTCAAAAATGTGCAACGCAGTGAAGGAGACATCTCCGACCCTATAAAGTATATATATTCTTGATCAGGATCACCTCCTGAGTTGATATGAGCATGTCCGTCTGTCCGTCTGTCTGTCTGTTTCTACGCGAACTAGTCTCTCAGTTTTAAAGCTATCGTCTTGAAACTTTGCACACACCCTTCTTTCCTTTGCACGCAGTATATAAGTCGGAACGGCCCGGATCGGCCGACTATATCCTATAGCTGCCATATAACTGAACGATCGGAAATGACCCAACTTTCGTGCTTTTGAAGATAGAAAGCTGGCACTTGTTACACATTCTATTTTTGGTCAGTTAATCCGACCTACAAAATTTCATTAGGATCGGCCGACTATATCCTATAGCTGCCATATAACTGAACGATCGGAAATGACCCAACTTTCGTGTTTTTGAAGATAGAAAGCTGGCACTTGGTACACATTCTATTTTTGGTCAGTTAATCCGATCTACCGAAATGGTATAACTTCGGTGTTTTTAAAGTTAGAGAGTTCAAATTTAATACGACAAAATTCAAAATAATACGACATGCAAAATTTTGTAAGAATCGGCCGACTATATCCTATAGCTGCGATATAACTGAACGATCGGAAATGAACCAACTTTCCTGTTTTTGAAGATAGAAAGCTGGAACTTGGTACAGATTATATTTTTGGATCGGCCGACTATATCTTATAGCTGCCATATAACTGAACGATCGGAAATGATTTTTGGTAGAAATACCAACTTTGATATGTTTGAAGATAGAAGCTTGAGACTTTTTTTAGATTTTGTATTGTAATAAATTGGATTATATATTCATATTCCCATAAGGATCGGCCAACTATATCCGATGTGTGCGACATATATCCGGTTTAAACTGCAAGGGTATATAAACTTCGGCTCCGCCCGAAGTTAGCTTTCCTTTCTTGTTTTAGATTTTGTATTGTAATTAATTGGATTATATATTCATATTCCCGTAAGAATCGGCCAACTATATCCGATGTTTGCGATATATATCCGGTTTTAACTGCAAGGGTATATCAACTTCGTCTCCGCCCGAAGTTAGCTTTCCTTGCTTTTTTTTTTTTTGTTTTTTTCAGAGCAGTTTGTTGACTTATGCCTTTGTCAACATTTCAAGTGTTTCGAACACTTTATTTTATATTTTACACAAAATTTGATGCAAATCCTTTGATTCATATTTTTTGATAACGAAAAATCGGCAAGCACGCCAAACAACTTGTAACCTTTACGCCTCTCACAACCAAACAAAAAAGGGGATTCAATTGAAACTTAGTACAGATGTTAGGAAAAAGTGTACCAACATAAAAAAACAAAAAACTCGATAGTCGAAAATATTTGGCTCGCGAAATTTGAAAAGTCACCATACTTTTTGAGCACACCTCGTATGTATATCCGGTTTTAGATTGCTTCTATTTTGCCCAAGCAGAAAATTTTTAATAATTTGACTACGTGGCACACAATACTAACTGAATGACTGATTCTTTTGAGAACTTCATTATAAAACCAATTTTTATAACGCAATTAAATAAAAAAGTCTCAACCTTTCCATCTTTCAAAACCCAAACTTTGTGACGTTTCTGATCGTTCAAATATATGGCAACTTTAGGATATGTTTGACAGATCTCCGTTCCGATTTATTCCGTTTGCATACAAAGTAAAGAATAATGTTTACAAAGTAAAAAGTCGAAAGCTTTAAAACTAAAACATTTGTTCGCGTAAAAACAGAAAAATTACACATTTTAAAATATTCAAAAACAAAAATATATTTATTCAAATAAAAAATCTCACATTTAAAACCACAAGTTTTTTACTTAACTATAATAAATGTACAATATAACACAATTTTCCCCGATTTCAACAATAAAAATAAATGCTTGGATAGACAAATTATTGAAGACAAATCATTAAAGCTCAAAAAGAAATCCATGTAGGCAAATAAAATACTTAAACTTTTAGTGTGAATTCCAAATGGTAACTGGTGGATGCCATTTTTATACCGTTGCAGAGTATTTCAGCGTCGTGAAAGAGACATTCCCGACTCTTTAAAGTATATGTATATGTATGTACATATATTAAAGTATACTTTATATAGTATACTTTATCGGTATAAAGGTATATACCGAGAAATCGGTAAAATGTAACTCCATATTTATGGAGCTCGACATATGTTCAAAAAAAATTGGTTTCATTTATTGTAAAACGTTTACGGCTAATTTTAGAAATTATTACGTCAAAATGTATAAATAAAAACATATGGGCTTTTTATACTCCTGATTTGGCTAATGTTTACATATTTATATGCTTTGGGGAAAGCATATTTACAAAAAAAAATTAGTATTGCGTGTTATTTATAAAAGTGATTTCGACTATGATATAATTTAGACTGGTCCGTCGTCTCTTTACCCGGCATCGATATATGTATTTGAACATATATATAGTACATCGCTGTTTAAGCACAAAGTATATGTATATATTTTTGTACCTACACATACGACTATAGAAATATAAGCGTATGTATGCAAAAATATATGTATGTATGTATAGGCGTATTTTCGAAAATACTAAAAAGTTTTTCCCATTCGGCGAACGATTTCTTTTAAGCAATCTTTTATTTAAAAGGCAAAAGCATTTGTATGTATCTATTTTCTATGACATGTTCATATTAAAATATATTTTTAGTTTTAGTTTTATGTTCATCATGAACATTTTATATCAATATCTTACATCTTACACATTTTTTCCAAGCGAAAAAAATTTATTTATTTTTATGAAAAGTGATTAGTTAAAAAATGGCATAATCGCAAACTTTTACACTTCTTTAATAAAAATATCGTAATTTTATGTTTAAAAATCACATGTAAAAACACCATTAAAACACATAATCATGTATATACATAGTGGAAAATATAAATAAATAAATATATATCTAAACAAATACAGAGGAATTTACATATGTATGGTGTATGGACGAATTAAGATATAAACTTTTTTTATCTGAACTCCGCCAGTGAAATTTTTTTCACGTTCACTGAATGTTATTATTATTTTATATTCTCGTACATTTGGTAGCTTTCGGACTTGGCAATTAAATAATATTTTTCAAGATTCAATCTTAGATTCACACGCGTTCTTGTGGCTTCACGTCGAAGAAGCCTAGGCTAACGGAAGCGAGATCGTCAGCACCTGTAGGTTCTCGGCGTACAACGTTCAAAATGAAACTGAAGCGCAGAGAATTGGTAAGAAGGCTAAAAACGCAGAGCCAAATATAAGCGTCAGCAGGCAATGCTGCTGAGTAGCCAGAGACAACGACACGAGAATGAAAATCAACCCCTATAATACAAGGGAACAATGGCCCCGAAAGTGACGTAGTCGTTTTCGTGTGCTAAGAGTTACATTTTGAATAGTGTTTTGAGGTAAATAAAGTGGTAGACACATGTTATTACCCACATCCTTTACTATAAAGATAAAAAAAAATTCCTCTTAAATATTTTTATAAAAAAAATGTATTATAAGTTACTATGTTACAATTAAACTATTTTTTCTAGGGTGTACATTTTGAGAAAAAGTTAAAAAAAAGGGGAAAACTTTAAAATTACGTTATTAATGAAATATAACACAGGCGGAACCCCGCCAAAATTTTATTTCAGATAAAAAGCTAACATTTGGGTTCCGCTGATACAATGTCGAGAACAAACAAACTTACATACATACATACATATACAAATTGGTCAAAAAAGTATATATTGTATTATGTAGTCCGTGTAATTGCGTATAAAACCCCTTTTAGGTCATATTTTCGAAAAAGAAAAAACACCATCCACAAGTTCTCTTATCTGAGAAATATTCATCCAAATAAAGTCTCCTATTTGAAATAAATATTCAAAAATTTCAAATATTCAAAAAATTGTTTATTTCGACTTTAAGGAAACAATTAAAAACAGTATACTAAATTACAATGGTAAGGGAAACAATAGTTGGGCTCAATGTATTTGAAATGAAAAATATTGCAATATATTACATACATATGTATCTACACACATACATTTCTGATGAGGATGACCCTGTTGGCTAATATGAAGCACTGTGCACTGTGAATTCAAAAGGTTAAAAAATTAAAGTTTTAAAATTTTTGTTTATAATTATTAAATATCTCTTTTCCAAACTTTAACTATACGATAATTTTTATCAACAATGCAACCCGCCTTTAAATTTTATTCTTGTGATAAAAAATGAACTGAACACAAAAGTGATAATTTTTAATAACGAATTTATAATATTAAAATTATTATCAAATAATCTGAACAAAAGTACTACTTTCTTTTTTTTACGTGAATGTATGTGTAAACATATTTCATATGTTGTGTATTACAGTGTATAGCAGAAGCTTCTCGAAGGATACAATAAACACAAAACGAACCTAGCGGGAAAAAGTATACATATGTATATGTATAATGACTTTTATTGACCAAAATACCAGCGTCCAGAAATACCCGATGCAACCTAGAGAAATAGAACTTCAAATTGTGATACTGACGCTTTTTAGGAGGGAAAAACGTCTGTTAGCGGCGCATCTGCTTCCTTTACCTACCCTTATTAAGACAGGTGGCAGCGAGTTAGTTACATTTCAATGACTCCTGGATCCGTACCACCTGTCTGCTGCGTTAAAAGAGGCACCCAGTTTTTGAAATAAGGTTTTTGTTTACAAATAAAGATTATAAATAACGAATTTGGACAACAGTATAGGCACAACTGCAACAATTTTAGAAGATGTTGGTTGCGAAAAAAAATATTACCGAATTATTATTACCTTTTTTTTAAAGATTTGTGGTAAAGGAAATTTCAAGGAAGCACCGGAAACCTGTATGATACCATTTCTAGTTAGTATGCATTCACACGCACTCATGGGAATTAGGTCAATGGGCCTTATAGCACAAGTGGCAATGGTGGGCTCATAATGAAGCTTCATGCGACGTGGAACTTTGAAGTAATTTATTTTAAGTGTCGGGTTACCAGACGAACATGCTTTGGGACTATAGTGCCAAAACACTCTCAAACTTGAAGTCACCCGTGAAAATTATTTTTTGTTATGTATGTAGCTAACATTGGGCGGAGCCGAATATATAGCCGGATATATATCGCAAATATCGGATATAGTGGGTTGATCATTATGAGAATATCATAATATAACCAATTTATTACAATACAAAATTAAAAAAAAAAAATCCCAAGCGTCTATCTTAAAAAATACCAAAGTAAGGATGGACCTACTATATCCGATGTTTGCGATAGGAAAGGAAAGCTAAATTTGGACGGAGCCGAAATTGATAAACCCTTGCAGTTAAAACCGTATATATCGCTGAAATCGGATAAAGTTTTGTCGATCCTTATAAGAATATCATGATATAACCCATTTATTACAATACAAAATCTAAAAAAAGTCCCAAACTTCTATCTTCAAGAACACCAAAGTTTGTATAAATATAAATAATGTATAAAATACCAAATAACTTTTCCGATCGTTCAGTTATATGGCAGCTATAAGATATAGTCGGCCGATCCTTATAAAATTTGGGGGGTCGTATTATTTTGTCAAAATAGTACTCGTACAAAATCCGAACTCTCTAACTCTAAAATCACCGGAGTTATAGCATTTCCGATAAATCAGTTTATATATGGCATCTGATGAGATCTGCAAAATGAGATCTGGTGAAAGTTCCTTGTAGCAAGAGAAGAGTTCTTGAAGTCCTTGTCTTAAATATCTTAAGATATTTTAAAAGGTAAAAAAAAGGATTATTTTTTGAGCTATCATGTTAACAGAGTTTTTTTTTAAATTCTGCCTAAGGGTAGGCAACTGAAACACGGAGACGATGGCGTATTCGTAGTGTGCTTGTTGGGTTGCTGCATTTGCGTTAGCAGTTCAATGTTAAAATTGACTTAAGTCTACTTTTGAATTAGTAAAAATGTTTTAAAAATTCTATTTAAATTTTTAAAAAAATTTGGTATTACGTTAATGTTATTATAAGTTATTATTAGTCATAAAAGCGTTGGGGAAATAACGTAATATTCTATGCAACAGGCTTGTAAACCAATTCGGGAAAATCTACGGCTGAACATTTTTTCACAAGAGTTACGCCTAATACTTAATATTAGTTATTGTATTATAAATAAATTGACATTTAATAATACTTGATAAAAAATATAAATAAATAAAATTACAGTACATCATAAATCGAATTCAAAACTTCATAAAATTTGGGAAAATATTGGGCTATTTAAAAACAATAAAGTTGTACTTGCAGGTTATTTTTAAATATTAATAAAATTAAATATTATTTTCATTATTTAAAAATGTGTTATTTAACAAACAAATGGCCTTTGAAAGGACTATAAATAAAGGCATATCTAACAGATGTACAGCTTACTCTGTGAGTGATAGTTGAGGTGATATCTCAAGAGTGTGCTAAATCTGTTAAGAGTGTTAACATTAATCCGCATTAAAAATGTATATACAAATAACAAGGTAAGTCAATAAACTATTCTACGACTCTAAAAAGCTGTTTTGTTTTACATTTATACCCTGAAATATATTTTCACAAAACAAATCATTTGTAAGGAAATTTTAATTGTCTAAGCATTAAAGATTTTATTAGGATAACTCTATTTTCAGTCGTATGAGTTTTATTTTTCAACAACGTACACATATCTCTGAAAGCCTTATATTTAAATGTAAAGAAACAAATAATTTGAAAAACTTTATATGTTTTATATTTCTATACCCTTGCAGAGGGTATTATAATTTTGGTCAAAAGTGTGCAACGCAGTGAAGGAGACATCTCCGACCCTATAAAGTATATATATTCTTGATCAGGATCACCTCCTGAGTTGATATGAGCATGTCCGTCTGCCCGTCTGTCTGTCCGTCTGTCTGTCTGTTTCTACGCGAACTAGTCTCTCAGTTTTAAAGCTATCGACTTGAAACTTTTCACACACCTTTCTTTCCTTTGCACGCAGTATATAAGTCGGAACGGCCCGGATCGGCCGACTATATCCTATAGCTGCCATATAGCTGATTGATCGGAAATGGTATAACTTTAGTGTTTTTAGAGTTAGAGAGTTCAAAGATACAAGAGCTATTTTTGGCAAAACATTACGACATGCCAAATTTCATAAGGACCGTCCGACTATATCCTATAGCTGCCATATAACTGAACGATCGAAAATGACCCAACTTTTGAAGATAGAATGCTGAAACTTAGTACAGATTATATTTTTGGTCAGTTGCGCCAACCTACCAAATTTCATTAGGATCGGCCGACTAAATCCTATAGCTGCCATATAACTGAACGATCGGAAATGGGATTTGGTAGAAAAATCAATTTTCGTATTTTTGAAGATAGTAGCTTGGTACCTTTTTTAGATTTTTTATTTTAATTAATTGGTTTTATTATGATGTAATCATAAGGATCGGCCAACTATATCCGATGTTTGCGATATATATCCGGTTTTAACTGCAAGGGTATATCAACTTCGGCTCCGCCCGAAGTTAGCTTTGCTTTCTTGTTGAATAATAAAATTATAAAATTGTTTTTTAAGAGAGTTTGAAACTAAACTTAAAATAATTTAAAATATAAAGATCTTGTTCTTTAGATGCATAATAGAGGAAACTAAAAAAATACATGAAATAAAAAAAAGACAGCTCCGAGGAGACCGAAAACATAATTTTTCATGTGAAATTGTGAAAAAAGGAAGCGCTTTGGAGAAATAAAAAAGCCAATGAAATTATGTGTTTTGGAGAAGAGGTTTCAATAATTTTTCCAACCTCCAGCGTCCTTCGAAAGGCAGAGCAAGAGGAAATAGACAGGAACCTTCATCTGTCAAGCAACGACCTCATAAACAATCGCACTCAACCCGCCATTGATCAATTCAGTGCACTAATCAAAAGGAGTTCCTATGATTCGGTCGATGCTACCTGCGAAGCTGCTTTTCGGATTCCAGTTGTTAATGATAGAAGGGCTAAGTTTCGGGAATTCAAGAAAAAAAAGTCCAAATATATATTTTTATATCAATGTATATACTATTGGTAATAGTCGTTGTAGTCGTATAGTCGTAAAGTCGTAAAGCTATCGACTTAAAACATTACACACACACTTCTTTTCTTTGCCCGAATTATATATGTATGTAAGTCGAAACGGAACTTCATACAGATTCTATTTTTGGTCAGTTG